TTTGGCTCAAGAGGCGGATAATTCACACCAGACGGTGCCTTTTCAGGATGAAAATATCTCATATAGACGAAAATTTATCAACAAGTATTTTATCCTTAAGTTACAAGATTGCTATCATATCATTATTATTTTTTCATTTAAGGGTTCATTTGTTGTCTGTGATTATTAGACAGTCGAAACGAAAAACTACTATCCCTCGTTTCGCATAAAACAAAGATTTTTCGGGAGCAAAATACGTATGGGAGTATCGAATAACGAAGGAGTAGTGCTAGAAATGACATTTCCTGCGTGCACAGAGAATGCAATTTTTTTTGAACTACTAAATCTATTTTTGCGACAAAAATTTTTCATTCCGGCACACTCTCTGTACGTTTGGCACAAAAAAATCCTTTTTTGATCATTTTCAAAAAAATATTTTCTTGGCACAAGTAAGACTTGTTTGAGAACTTTGTCGTTTTTCTCTCAGTGTATTAAACTTTTAATCAAGAAACTATTCAACAGACATTTTCCAACAGAATTGTGTCGATATCTTTTTATAGAGAGAAATTTTGTATAGAGGAAGGGCCTTCACAAAATTACAGAAATTATATAATGCAAATAAGGAGGAAGACGCATAATTTTTATCAAAAAAGGGCGCAAAGAACAAATAGAATTCTAGAATTTCTTAGAAAAGACTTTCAAAACTTTGTCGTTTTTCTCTCAGTGTAGAATATATTATATTACTATATGTGAGATATTTTATTAAATTAGTATTGGATGATTTCATGAACGACTTTCATCAGCGATTTTTAGCTTTATATGAACGAATTCAAAATAGAAAAATCTCAAAATAAAATTTTAGTCTCAGTTTCAGCCATAATACCCTCAATTTCTTCATACGTGACATTTTCCTCAGTTTTTCTCCTTTGATTTGAATTCTCAATTGGATTTACCTGCACACGTTGGTGATATCAGCCCCGGAATACCCCTCCAGCCTTCTAGCAATATCTGCAAGGTTCACAGAGGCATCGACCTTGACATCTCGAAGATTAATCTTCAGTAGAGCCTCTCGCCCTTCACGATTAGGCAATGGAATATAAATTCGTTTCTCCAATCGTCTTCTCAGGGCTTCGTCAATGTCCCAGGGGAAATTCGTCGCTGCCAGGACCATGACGACTTTACTCGGGTCCTCACTAAGCAATTAGTAATAATGATAATCAAAAAATGGTGACAACGATCAGAAAAACTCATAAGACAACTCAGTAAAACGTTTCAAGTCGATTTTGACTATTAGCCAGTGTAATGTATTAAATATCTCGGAATCTAAGGGAGATAGCAAAATTTTTGTCGTGACCTTTTTTGTAGATCTCAATTTGCTCTACGAAAAAGGTCATTACGAAAATTTCGCTATCTCCCTTAGATTCCGAGGTATTGATTGAAAACTGGTCAATAGTCAAAATTCGCTACTGAATTATCTAGCAAATTCGTTAGGCTTGATTTAATTTAGGATTAATTGATCCTGTTGAGATTATTTATGCAACAATTCTTGACCAAGCATTTGCCAAGTTATTTTCTGCATTTTATTATGAGAAACTAATGAAAATGCAAAAGAAAAAACTCACGATCAGACAATTTATACTCGAGAATTTCTGCAGAAAAACCGTAATCTATTTACATTTTTCTATCAAATATCTGTTGACGAAATTACAGAGTAAAATTGCAATAGAATTGACGCAATTAATTAATAACTGTCGAGCAAAATAATTAATTGATAATAATTGTTATAATAAAAAAGAATTAACTAATAATTGCCCAGCGAAATAATTAATTAATAATTGTTGAGATTATTTATGCAACAATCCTTGAACAAGCATTTGCCAAGTTATTTTCTGCATTTTATTATGAGAAACAAATAAAAATGCAAAAGAAAAAACTCACGATCAGACAATTTATACTCGAGAATTTCTGCAGAAAAACCGTAATCTATTTACATTTTTCTATCAAATATCTGTTGACGAGATGACAGAGTAAAATTGCAATAGAATTGACGCAATTAATTAATAACTGTCGAGCAAAATAATTAATTGATAATAATTATTAATAATTAATAACAATTAATTGATAATAAAAAAGAATTAATTAATAATTGCCCAGCAAAATAATTAATTAATAATTGTCTAGCGAATTGGCTAGGTTTTTCTAATAAACTTTTTCCTGCAAATAAAAATCATAATAATAAATGAAGAATTCCTAAAAAAACGCGTTGACTACCTGTTTGAACTAATGCCATCCATCTGCACAAGCAACTCAGACTTGACTCTTCTCGACGCCTCGTGTTCTGACTCTGATCCCCGCCTTGAGCAGAGTGAGTCAATTTCATCGATGAAAATAGTGCTGGGTGCGTAGAACCTGGCCATTTCAAAGAGAAGTCGAACGAGTTTCTCAGACTCCCCTCGATACTTGGACGTAAGTGTGGACGACGAAACATTGAAGAAAGTCGTGCCACATTCTGTGGCGACAGCCTTCGCTAGCATTGTTTTCCCCGTGCCAGGTGGGCCCACCATCAAGACTCCCTTCCAGGGACGACGAATGCCCTTGAAGAAGTCGGGCATCCACATGGGGAGGACCACAGCCTCCTCCAGGAGCCTCTTGGCTTCGGACAGGTCTGCTATGTCGTCCCATCGAATGTTGGGATTTTTCTGGACAATATCTCGTTCGAGGATGTCTACCAGATCTCTGTCCCCACCTGCTGGCTCGAATTTACGTTCCTCTACGTCTGTATCTCCTTTCTCGGTGTCTGTCTTCTCCTGAAGTGATGACAAGTTATTTGCAGCATTAGAAAATGGCCCAGAAGTTTCTCATGTAAATTAAATTAATTTAAGTTATTGAATTGTCTATAGAATAAATTTAATCCTCAAAATTCAAGTTATGTTACACTTCTTTTTTGTCTCTCCTTCTTTCGATGGATTTAGGGAGAATTACATCACATTTCTCGATTTTTAGAATTTTTAAAACGAATTCAATCGAAAAAATTGAAAAATTATTTCTCTATCTCGCTAAAGCCATTAAAATCAGAACAGCACGTAATTTTATAGTCGCACTCTACGAATCTGTAAATTCTTCTCTGTCAACTTGATGTATTGCAACGATTAGTTTAATTGATTGTAATTCATAAAATCAATGCTGACGTCTATATCTCCTTTCTCAGTATCTGTCTTCTCCTGAAGTGATGACAAGTTATTTGAAGCATTAGAAAATGGCCGAAAAGTTTCTCATGTAAATTAAATTAATTTAAGTTATTGAATTGTCTGTAGAATAAATTTAATTCGCAAAATTCAAGTTCTCCTGAAGTGATGACAAATTTTTTGTTGAACTAAATCTCAATTTGAGACTTTCAGATACTGAAATTAAAACTTTTGAATGCCTCAAGCTAAGAAAAGACTTTTGGAACTCAACTTGAAATTTTTCATCGGGGGGAGTTTCGAAAGTCTATACTCGAGACATTAAAAAATGTCAATTTGGGCCTTTTAAGTCTCAATACGAGATTATAAATCCCAAAATAAAGCTCAATAAAATGTGAGGTCATAAAATGCAATAAACAAATTGAATTGAATTAAATTCTGTAACGAAGTGGTAAAACGTTTCAAGTCGACTCATCTCTCAGTTGAGTTTTTGTGAAATATTTCCGAATCTAAGGGACATATCGAAATTATCGTGATGAGATTTGTTGTAGCCCTCAATCGGCTCTACAAAAAAGTTTTGTTTGGTGAGGAACTAGATTTAGGGTGGATTGGGAGGTTAGAGGATCGTCGGTGTGAAATAATTGTTGAGAGTCTTGACCTAGTATCAACGTGCATTTATTCTCGATAGTCCACACGCACCCCCTTCCCGTGTGCACTTCTAGTTATAAACAAATTAAGTGGTTTTTTTGATGATTTTTTTTTTATGGGAAACATTGGCAAATAGAAGAAAATGTTCGTGACAAAAGTTGTTCCTTTTTGTGTAATAAATAATGATCAATTTTTTAAATCAAAATCCATCAATCCGTTGCCGAAATATGCTCCACCAGGTGAACGCGGGAGGATGCGCGGCGCGCGCAGTCCGCTCGAACCTCTTCCGTGTCGCGTACGCACCCATTTTCACATCATTTTGAAGCTTTCGTCATGGATGTAACAATTGAAGGAGTAATTCAAAGAAGATAATCCTACATAGAAGTCAAAATTCAATGAAATGAGGGTGAAGCGAGCGAATGATCGATCTGTACAACTCCACACCGTTACTTGAAAACGAAAAAAATACTCATCCGCATCCACATNTTAATTAGTTAATTCAATACTCCGGCCCGAAGAGACTCTGAAAAAAATCACGTATTTAAATATGACGAACATTCTCTTACGAGGATCGGAGGAAGACTGATTTATCGGAGTATTTTCTAAACGTCAGTTGACTAAAACAAGAAGAAACAAGAATATTTTTGCAGCTGTCCCCTCCGAATTTTCTTGGAATTGAAAATTCGCAGAAATAATCCAAATAAATATCTCTCATACTTGGAGTATTAGTGTTTTGTGTGTTTTTGTTTTCCTTTCTATGTACCAATACATGAGTAGAGGTCGTTTTATCTGAGAAAAATGACGGATTGATGAGCATTCAGAGGACGTCGAGCGTCCCACCCATCTTCGCGCGTCGCGCATCCTCCCGCGCCCACCTGGTGGACCATATTTCAGCAACGGATTGATGGATTTTGATTTTAAAAAATGATAATTATTTATTACACAAAAAGGAACAACTTTTGTCATGAACATTTTCTTCTATTTGCCAATGTTTCCCATAAAAAAAAAATCATCAAAAAAACCACTTAATTTGTTTATAACTATTAATTGCACGCACTTACATGAAAAATACCACCGGATTCGGTTTTCTCATACCCGAAAACATAAGAAAACACCTCAAAACCTTACCGCACTAGAAGTGCACACGGGAAGGGGGTATTGCGTGTGGACTATGAGTCGAACCACGCTTTGTCAAATTTACAAAAACACCTTGTCACTTGTTGATCGTACTAAAATAATTTAATTGTCGATCGGTTTTGCACTGTGAGTCACTGGTTGAGTGGTCAACAAATAACGTGATTTTCTTTTACTGAATTTCTATCGCCGAGTTAATAGACGCTAATGTACTGTGGGCTAAACTCTACAGAGTTGAATTCCATTCAAAACGTGCTATACGACAGACCGTGATGAACTGACTCGCGTTGATTTACGGTGATTCTACTAGACCTGAGCGTTGACCCGGAAAAGGCCGATGATTTTCGTAATTGGCCGAGCTGATCGACCTTGGTCTTGGAGAGGTTGAGTTACGTTTCAAACAAGTTTCTAACAACAATTTTGCTATCTCCCTTAGACTCCGAGATATTCATTGAAAACTGGTCAACAGTCAAAATTGACTTGCACCGTTTTACCACTTGGCTGCTGAATTAAACAAAACTAGATCTGTGCGCACGCTTTCGCGCGCGCTTATCTTTTTGTTGTGAAAATGAAGAAATCGAATTTATTAAACTTCATATACTCATAGATGTTTTATAAATATTGATAATGACTTAAAGAGAATTAAGAGAATGAAGAGAATGAAGAGTGAAGCATCAATGAATAATTTTTAATCTTCGATTAATTCATTTTTTTTTACTTTTAAAAATATATCTGATTAAAATCTGTAATTGTTGAAAAATGAGGGGAGGGTTATGAATTGATTTCCCAGAAAACTGAAAAAATTTCTTGAATTCTTCGGAAAATTCCACAGTGTTCCAGATAACCGTAGCTCTTGAAAGATTTTTCTCGAATTATTTGGGAAACCGAAGAATTTTCATGAATTTTGTAGAATTTAGGATTTATGTATGAAAATCTGAGAAGCAAGAATTGATCATTTTGGCGTGTGATAAATATGAAAAAATTAAAATTTGGGAAGTGAAGAATAATTTGTGAGTTAAAAAAATTTAGAAATACCATGTTTCTTTCTCATGATCAACAATTAGGCAATTTAGATATGTTTTGATATAAAGATAAACTTCACACATGAGAAAATGAAAAATATGACGCAGAAAACATTTTTGCCATTTGAAGAATTTGAAAGTACCGGGGATTTTTTTCAGCGCCTGCTTCACGTGACTCATTGACCAATCAAAATTGGTGATTAGCGGTCAGGCAGTTTCGAGATGTTTCGATATAAAACAACTTCACGCTTCTTTCATCTTCAGTAAATAGGAAAACAACTTCACGCTTCTTTCATTTTAGTAAATAGGATTGAACTCAAGTTATGTTTACACAGTTTTAAATCCTCAGCCCAAACTTCAACCTCACCTTCTCCTCCCTCTTCGCGGTTTTCTTATCATCCTTCCTCCCAGAGTTGCTCCCCTTGGCCTCTGGTTTCTTCCCCCCAGCAGTGGTCGGTTTCCTCACCCCCGAGCGCGTCTGCTGTTTGCCCCTCGAGCTAGAGCTGACTTTGGCCGTCTGTTTCTGCTCGTTTGGGGTCAGTGGTGGCCACACGTCGGGGTCGCGCACCACCGGAGCACTCCAGGACGACCCAATACTCTGCGACCACAGTGCGGGGTCCCTCGTGGGCTCCTCGAACTGCAGACACGACGTCCCCAGCATTCTCTCCGTTCTCACGTCGACTTTGAACAACTGCAACATGTGAATCGCAGACTTGACTTTCTCGAACTCCTGGACAATCTGGTGCTGCACCAACTGCCACTTGGATTTTCTCGTTGTGTCCACTATCGTCGCTAATAATCGGTGAATCTGCTGCACAACTCCTTGATAGTAAACACCTGACGTGTCGTAGTTGCCAGTCAGCGCCAGATCTCTAGCCAATTTCGTGTTCTCACAGATTTCGTTTATTGACACTGCCATTGTTTACTCAATAATGCACTTGTTCTGTGGGAAATTCAGGGAGTTGAGCTATTGTTTGACGAGAAGGAACACCGAAACTGCAGGAAGAAGCCGAGAAATTTGGATTTGGGGGGTTTAATTGAGGTTTTGACTTTTTTCTGGGAGTCAGCAATACCTGGATGTTGTTATTATTATGGTGTCACGAAAACTGTCAAGTTCGTTACCATTTTCGTCGCTGCGCGAGTGTGTGGGACTGACTGAGAGGGGAGGGAGGTGAGGCGCCATTCAGGGACAGCCAGGGCTGGCGCAAGTGTTTTCGAGGGGCTCCTTAAGGGTGCCAAGTGCATTTGAAAAAAGATTCAAAAAAAAATTTTCTTTCCCTCCGTCATTGGAGAAATATGCATTCACCCATCCGACGAAATTTCAAACCCGCAACCGGAACTAGACATCGAGAAAATAAATGCGGAAAATCCTCTATTTCGCGTGACGAACCTCGAGAAAGCATGGGATCAAATGGGTACGGCGGGTTGAAATATCTCTCTTATTCACCCCGGTACCCCATTGTTTTTTGTCGCCATCACATTGAACACATCATTCCCCATATCTTCAAATTTTTTCAAATTTTTCTTGAGTTCCTAGGGGGTTGAAACGTTCAATTTAATCAAAACTCCATAAGAGGCCGTGTATAAGACTGATTTTGTTTATTTAATTTCTCGATATCCATAAGTTCTAAAATTTTAAAATTGTCACCGACGTTCACCATCTGTCTAATACTATTAATTTAAAAAATTATAACTTTGTTGGTGAATGTCAATTTTCAAGGTCATCGCCAAATTCACTTGGCACCCTTAATGTTTTTGTTACGCCCCTGGTGGGTTTAAAAGTGTGTTTGAGAAAAGTGAATTGGGAAAATAGTGTTTATTGTTTTTAGGAGTGAAAGATGGATGTGGTGATGAGTTCAGATGAATATTTCGAGAGTTATGAGGAGCTCGATGTGAGTGTTTTTTATTAAAGGTTATTAGCACTTAGTAAAATAGATGATAGTGATGAGAATTAGTGATGACTAGTGGAGGAGAAATATAACCAAAGAAAGATAATGATGAGCACCAGCCATGTGACTAGAATTTGAATGTTTTGCTTTGAATGGAGAATTGTGAAATTAATTCAGGTTTATTGTCCTATTTCAGGTTCACAGACTCATGCTGAGTGATAATCCGAGAATGACAGCGTATAAGAATGCCATTGTGAATAATAAACATTTGTTTGAGGGGAAAGTTGTGATGGACGTTGGTGCCGGCACCGGTGAGTGTTGATAACAATTTATAAATTTTTTTCGAATTGATAAAACGCGAACGATCGAATGTGATGTGCATTAAAGTATTTGATCGAAAAATTGAAAATAGAATTTCTTTTCTAAGAAATTCTAGAATTCTATTTGCTCTTTGCGCAGTTTTTCGTTAAAAAATTATTTTATTTTTTCTCACAAGTTTTTTTAATGTCCATTTTACTTCAGATGTCCATGTTGCCCCACCCTCCCCTATATTTTTGTTAATAAATTACCAATTTACTTCTGAATAGAATTTCTACGATAGTTCTATTTCAAATTAAATTGATTCACTGAAATCGACATTGACATCAACAAAAATAGATAATGAGAAGTTTTTCTCATTTGTTCAAGGAATTTTGTCAATTTTCTGCGCACAGATTGGGGCGAGGACTGTCTACGCCGTTGAGGCGAGTAGACTGTCATCGGTGATAAAAGACGTTGCTATTGAGAATTGTGTAGATAAAGTAGTCCAAGTTATTCCACAAAAACTCGAAGATATCCGAGATGACACAGTCGATGTCGTTGACATAATTGTGTCTGAGTGGATGGGATTTTACCTCGTCCACGAGGGAATGCTCAATACGATTATCACCGCGAGAGACAGATTTTTGGTGGAGAATGGACTCATATTTCCGTGCATTGCCAAGTTGTACGCTGCTCCTTGCCAAGTTCCAGAGTTTTTTGAATTTTGGGACGATGTCTGTGGAGTTAAAATGGGGTAATTGTTGTCATTTCATTGGATGGAAAGGATTGCATTTTATTTCGTCGTGGAAAGTAGATCTTGAGCATATTAATTTTGAGCATTTAATTTTTTAATGGTTAAGAATAATTTTAAAAATCCTGACGAATGGGTTTTTTAATTAAGAAGCTTTGCTTTTTTGCACTGAGAATATTAATTCAAATTTATCAAGTCCAGGTGTCAGGTGATATACTCTGAATAACAGAAGATTTTTAAACATAAATTAATTACTTCTAGCACAAGAAAATATATTAATTCAATAGCGAGAAATTTCTTAATAAAAAAAATAGTTCAATTCGAGAATAAGAAAGTTTAGAATGAATGAATGAAAATTTCTTCAAAATAAGAGAAAATGTGCCTTCATTTACGTAAAATTGTCCAAAATTTGAAGGAAAAAATCTGAAAAATAGATTTTGTTTTCTAGTTTCTTGGGGCTGTTTTCCTAAAATAAAATTAATGAAAATTTCACTCATTCCCATGATTTTTTGCCTGACAGGATTTTTTAAATTGCAACAGAGTTATGCAATCCACAGATTTTTACTGGAAACTAATATTGTTTCACTGTATAAATAATTTAATTAGTAGAAAATAAATCAAACTTCACACATTTAATCATTCAAGAAAAATTATCTTTTCAAGAACGCAGAGAATCTTCGCTTGAAAACCCCAAAATCTTCATGTTAAGAATCCAAAAATTCAGAATTACAGAACCACGATTTTCTTACAATACAAGAAATTGCGTCTAAATTCAAATATCCTAGATTGAAGGCAGAATTAAAGTTGAAAATTCCCAAATAAAATTTCTTCAAAATGAGAGAAAAACTCCCCCCATTTACGTGCAATTAAACTAGTTGTAATTACCACCAACAACTTTTCTCTTTGTTTTCTAGAAAAATGCTCCTAAAATAAAATAAATGAAAATTTTCCTCATGCCCATGATTTTTGCGTTTGAATTTATTCTCTATAATTGAATTTTAGATTACATAACTTAATTTTTAGTTAAAAATGCAGCTTGAGACACATTTACGGTTCTTCCAGATCAATCGGGACTCAATTAAGAAAATTAAAATCCACGAAACCCGAGATAATGCTCGTGAAACCCGAGAATTTGTTGTCTGGAGAGAAATTATTTGCTTGGCTAGACCTCAGATCCACGACATCAGTGGAGTTGTCCACGATTGGAGGTCAAGATCTGGTGTTTGCCTCGAAAAAAAATGGAAAGTTCGAGGGAATTTGCGTTTGGTTTGACGTGGAGTTTCCAGACACCTCAGAGCTCTCAACGTCTCCGCAGACTGAGCCGACCCACTGGAAGCAAACAGTCATTCTCCTGCCTCAAGCGCAAGAGGTCGAAGAGTCTGAACCAATCGCAGTGAAAATAACTGCCAGAAAGAACGAGGCGAGACCTCGATGGTACAATCTCGAATTGGAAGTTCTGGACCCTGATGAGACTGAACACGACATGCCGTGTGATTGTTACATGACGAAGTGTATTGTCTCGAGAGAATTTCTCAAACTGCAAGAAAATAATGAATGATGAGCAGTAAAAATTTGACTCCTCTTTTTCAGTTTTCACATGTGTCTTTTATTTTCCCACGTTTTTAACAAATTATTTTGATGATTCAGAGTATTTCTTACCACGAAATAATACAACTCTGTTATTCAGTAATCCCAGAGTCCTATCGATTTAAGTATTTTAGTTTCGCTGTTTTTGCCGAAAGGCACTAATGTTCATAATCATTCCTCGAGGAGGTGGTGAATTCTTTTTTTATTCAACAATAAAATTTTCGAATGCTGGGAAAATGGAAAGAGAGATTATAGAAGTTTTTCCCAAGACGTCATTGGTTGATAAATTCTAGATGTTTTTTATTCATAATATTTTTTGAAATTCTATTCTCTATTGAATTATTGAAAAAATAAGAGTGAAAATAATGAAGAAATGAAATGATTTCATTAAAATTTGATTATTCGATTTTTCCATGAAGTTAAGAATTTTTTGAATAATTGAAACTTCATTTTTTTGGTGGGACTTATATTATTTAAACGTTAGACAATCGTTTTTTCTCCAGAATTAATTTATTAACAAATTCAAGACGTTTTTTATGCATGAATTTGTTTATAATTTTATTGTCTATTGAATTATTGAAAAAATAAGAGTGAAAATAATGAAGAAATGAAATGATTTCATTAAAATTTGATTATTCGATTTTTCCATGAAGTTAAGAATTTTTTGAATAATTGAAACTTCATTTTTTTGGTGGGACTTATATTATTTAAACGTTAGACAATCGTTTTTTCTTGAGAATTAATTTATTAACAAATTCTAGACGTTTTTTATGCATGAATTTGTTTATAATTTTATTGTCTATTGAATTATTGAAAAATTAAGAATGAAAATAATGACAAAATAAAATTATTTCATCAATATTTAACTATTCGATTTTTCCATGAAATTAAGAATTCTTTGAATAATTGAAACTTCAATTTTTTTCTGATATTTATATTATTCAAACGCTAGGCAATTGTTTCGTTCCCGAGAATTAATTTCTTAATAAATTCTAGATGTTTTTTATACATAATGTTTTTTAAATTCTATCGTCTATTGCATTATTAAAAAATTGAGAATGAAATGATTTCATCGATATTTGACTATTCGATGTTTCGTCCATCAAATTAAATTTTTGTAATGAATTCCAGACGACAAAAACTATTCCAAAATCAATAGCGCAAAATCTAAATTGCAAACAAAATGTGTTTATTATCTCATGAAAAACAATGGAAAAAATTCATGTAAATGTTAAATACTTCAAAGTTCTCGCCATCTCCTCGAGAATAATTATTGTTGACCTCAATCAGAGGAAGAATTATTCCAACATAAACTGTGACCTGTCTCATTACACAGAATTACAAATAGAGGCAATTTCCTTCAAATTTCTCGATTATAAAATCACCCAGAGTTCAACATAAAGATCAATGAGTAACCATCAACATTTTTGCGTCATACAAAAAAAAAGAAGAAAAAACACGAAGAATAAATTACAGAAATTCCCTTCTCTGCGATGAAAATTAATTTGCCATTAATTTATCGGATTATTACATATGTAAAATACAAATATAAAATTACATATTTATTTATATGACAGCGTGATCATGTGAATCACAATTACACTGGTTTGTTTCGCTTCGCAATTTCATCATTAAATGATACGAGCCATTGCAAATTGGATAAATCTCTAGACTGAATTCTAGACGATTTTTATTCCATAACGAAAGGGGAAAATATGCCAACTCGATGAAGAGACGTACTACTGAAGCACGATATTGTTTTGTCATTGTTTTTTAATCAAATAATCACAGAGTTGGACGATCAATGGTGTTTTTTCGATGGTCGCTGACGTTGTGTTCTCGATGTGCCATTTTTTTCAGCTGTTGTACTATCTGATGGATGGGGAATCCTAAATAACATTATTTTTAGGTGATCACATATTTCTAAACACACTTGCGAACAGTATCGGAAAAAGTCAAACGTGACCCAAATCTGTGGACAGAAAATGAGAATTTTTTTTTATTCTAATGGTTGAAAATTAAATAATTAAATAATTAAATTAATTATTAATAATAATTAATCACAATAATTATTAATATAATTAATAATATAATAATTATTAATAATAATTATAATTATTATTAATAATAATTATTATTAATAATAATTATTAATAATTATTATTATTAATAATTATTATTATTAATAATTATTATAATTAATCATTATAATTAATTTAATTATTATTCATTTTTGATTTTAATGTTTTTAGCTCATTATGCAAATATTGTTGAATAGAAAGGGTTCAAAAGGAACTAAAAAAAGAAATTGGAGCACTTTTTCAAGGATATTCCAGTATCTTTTACATTTTTGCACAGAATTATCATTTTTTAAACATTCGTTAATTATAAATAAATAATTGAAATTGTTTAAATTTTTGTAAACTTTATTGTTTTGGACATGAAATCGATTTCTGGTAAAATTCTGAATATGAATGAGTTGAATATTATTATTATTATTATTATTATTATTATTATGAATATTTTTTCTGAATATGAAAAAATTTTGAAACTATTAAATCTTTGTCATTTTGAATTTTAAAAGAAATACTTACAAAACACAACCACAGTACATAATATTCCTTAATGAAAAAGTTGAAGTATTGATTAAGGAACAGCATACAGGGTCCGATAAGCGCAGTGTCTAAGTACTCCATCTCATTCTTCGTCATGTGAGCAACCTGAATAATATAATTTAAACAATTGGAACTCGTAAAAAAAAATTTATTGGATTTTTTGTAATTTAGAATGTGAACTCACAACTAATCGATTGGTAACTTTAGCAGCAACCATTCCAAAAGCGAGTATATACAGTGCGGGATGAGTTTCATAAACATTCTCCGCACTTTTCCTATAAATAATGTAGGCCGGAACTACTACGAGACTGAAGGGGATAATCGGCGATAATACTGAAGTTCCCTGGAACGATGAAACTTATGCAGTACTCACATTTAATCACATTTCATGAATTTTTGTTCATTCTTTTCAGAAGTGGAGTGATGAAATGTCAAGCACGAAAAAAATTCTATTGATCTTGAATATTGAATTGAATATTTTACTAGATTTTCGTCGTGTCTCTTGAACAATTCCACATCTTGTCAGCAATTTTTCATAAAAATGTTGAACAAAAAAAGTATTATTCAGAATCTAGAGAGTTTTTTATCAAATATTTTATTAAACATTTTTAAACATTTCTATTCTGAAAAATTCATTAAAAAACTGTGGAATTCCATGAATATTTGTTAATCTGTTGAACTTGCGAGACTGTTGAAGAATTCCACAACTTGTCGGCTAATTTTTATAGAAACGTTTAATAAAAAAAATATTATGAACACAAATTTTTGTTCTTAAATAACATCTCAGATTTTCTAAGTTTGTTTATTGCATTTTTGTTCTTTTTTCATTAAATATTACAATAAAAAAACTTTGCAAATTGAGGCTGAGGATTTTTTATATTAAAAATATCTTAATAGAAAGAGATTTATAAAAAAAACTCAGAATCGACTGATTTATTCTATCGAAATTTCCATTAAACATTTCTATTTTGAAAATTTTCATAGCTCAAAAATTTTGCAGCTTTCCTGGATGTTTATTCATAATAATGTTTAATAGAAAACAATTTTAATGTTAAAATGTTTTTTGTATAGAAATAATCAATAGATTTTGAAATTTCTATACAATTTCTTCCACTGAGATATTCTCTCTCGCAATTTTTCAGAATAATTTTTCCAAGTTTTTCCATTGCATTCTCTATCTTTTCTTATCAAATAATTGAATTTTTTCTCTCTAAATTCTAATTCTCTTAGAATTTTGAAGTTTGAGTTTTCCATAAAATGCAGAATCCACTGATTATCTCTGTAAAATATTTTATCAAACATTTCTATTGGAAAAACTCCAAAGAATAACTTCGGAATTTTTCAACAGAATGAACGAAAAACGAATTCCCAGAATTTGAGAATTTCCAGTAGAATTTCAATTCAATTCAATTTAATATTTAAGTTGAGTTTTCTATTGAATTGAAAACTTGAGAAAAAATTGTGAATTATCAGTCTTGTGGTCTCTAAAATATTAATCAACTATTTCGAAGAAAATTTGTTTGTCCACAAAAAATATTTCATGACATTTAATTAATTGTGCATTAAAAAACGTCAATCTCAACTCACTGCCTTTAACAGCATCACTCCACTTCTCCTTATTGTGAATGTCCCATTCAACTATCTTAATATATTCGTTAAATCAAATATGTCAACAGTTAGTTGTGCTATTAGTCCTACTGATCCAACCCATCTCATGCAAAATATGCAAATATTAATCATTCAATATCGAATAACCACGGCAACTAGACAAGCACTAAAAACCAACAAACTACTGCCACTAGCGAATCTAAGAACACGAGTGTTCATAATGAACCATCACGACCATCAGCCCTGTGAACGTAATGAATGAATGTGTCTACGGGAACGCCGAATTATCTCACAACTGTGCGGTGAATACAGACGCTGAATAGTGTTATAGCTCAGTGCGACGATTTATTCCCATAATTTTACTCTACAACCTGAAAGACTCCGAAGAAGAATTATTAGAAGGTCGAGGAGTTAAACTGAATAATAAATCAATACTTCACGATCACTGTTTCCCTCAACCAGATTTTTCATTAGTTTGGAAATTTCGGGTGAAGTGATGATGAACGGGAGAGAATCAGAGAACTGCGCGTATAAAAAAATTAAAAGAATTTAGAATTGAAAGAAAAATTTTAAATTAAATTAAATTAAAATTGTAAAAATTTCTTTGGGACTTTTATAGAAAATTACTTTGGTTTTTCGATAGTTCTAGTGAAAAAGTGATTATCCATACAATTTATTTATTTATTTAATTTCCAGAAATTCCTTGGTCTAAATTTTCTATTTTTTTGTTCATTTTTTTAATAAAAAAGGAAATGAATTGAAAAAAATTTGTGCCGAGGATTTTTTTAATTGAAAATGTGCCAGTAGAATAATTCGCAGAGAAATACCGAATTTCATTCATTTTTTCTGAGAAATTAATTCAATCAAACATTTTCTGTTGCGAAATTTCGAACGATTTTGACTACTCCCCAGTTTTCCAAGAATATCTCGAAATCTAAGGGAGATAGCAAAATTTTTGTAATGACCATTTTTGTAGCCCTCAATTCGCCCAACAAAAAAGGTCATTACAAAAATTTCGTTATCCCCCTCAGATTCGGAGATATTCCTCGAAAACTGAGCTAAGGGCCAACGCTTCGGTGCTGAATTCCCAATGAAGTCCGCGACTGCGCTAGCTTTACCTCCGAAACTTTCCCCATTGTCATCTTATCACGTTATTTATCATCTCCACTATTTCCCGTTCTTCAACACTCGCCTCGTGACTTCATATGGGTGTAAATCAAGGGAAGGGAATGAACTAATATTAAATACTGCTCTCCCTTCTCATCGCATATTATTATTATTATTATTATTTTTTGCTGTTGGAATACCTAGGACAAGTACGTGTGGGCTCGTGAGGAACGAAAAATAAACAACTTACAGCGACGGTTGAACCATTTTTTCCGACACCACCAGCAAGAATGACGGATATACTGCTTTGCGCGAGTAATATAGCAATGCCCACAGCAGCCCACAATGAAAAGACCTTCACCTCAGTGCCAATATAAGGCAACTAAGTTAAATAAAATCAACTAATTATTGGCAAAAATCATCAGGGGAGAGTGGGGCAAAATGAAGCAGTCGAAAAACGACTATTTGACGCAATTCAAGCGAAACGTCCTCTGGACTTTGAATTTTGCTGTTTCATTTTCTTTTCGATTAATTGACAAAATCTTCTCCCGTCAAAACTTCTCAATAATTTTCCACTCTACTGAATCGAAAATTATTTCTCCTCAGTCCTCCCAACAATTAAAAAAAAACAAAAGTTGATAAATTTTTTTTTTTGCTTCAATTGCGTCAAACAGTCGTTTTTGCATTTTGTTGTTTCATTTTGCCCCATTTTCCCTTATCTCCCCTTTGTTCCTTAATTTACCAAAAAAACAAAATATTTAGCTGTGGAATATGTGCAAATGGCAGTGGTGAGCCTCAAAATCCCTAGCAATGCCCTGATTCCTCCGACAAAATAAGGAAAAACGAAAAAAACAGCACGAAAATAACGGTAAAAACCAAACCAAGCTGAATCGAATAACACGAAGAGTGATTAGAAGATGAAAGACTGGAAGGGTTACTCAAGGTGGTCAGACACGAAGATTCTGTTGGAATAATTCTCCCATGCAGCTGTGGCCAATTAAAAAAAATCTAAACTGCATAATTGTTTCTCTCACTTTGACATTGAAAAAAAAACAACTTACTGCTATTGTGGAACCATTTTTTCCAATTCCACCAGAGGCAAATACTTTACAGAATTGAAGGAACACGTAAATGAAGCCTGCATAAAAAATCCCTGCTACCAAGTTCGATAATGTACCGATTCTCAGGATCTAAACACAAATATTTAGCAAACAACGATCTTAGAGAGAGAAAAATAAGGGCGACTGAGCGTGAGAGGTTTACGAGATAAATTCAAACAGAGAGAAAGAGAGAGAGAGAGATGGGTCAGCATCTAAACGTCATTTTCACTGTAAATAAATCAGAGAAAATAATTCAATGGGAGTGGGAATTCAGAGAGAGATGAGGCCTAAACGGATTTTTTCATTATTTTGGAAATGTTTCTGGAGGAGCATTCAGAGAGATATGAAAATGTCGAGCAAACTTTTTTTTTAAACAATATCTCTTCTGTTAATGCGCACGAAAAAAATTAACAGACAGCCTAGTGAATTCGCTAGATAATTTTATAGGATTTCTAGTCATCTTTTTATTTATTTTTAGCCAATTCTGGGGAAATTTTCAATAGAAAAAGTCAAGAGAGTTGGATTTTTCTGCACAACTTGTGGAGATATTTTCGATAGAATTTTCTCGGCTCAAATTTTTCAAAATCCTTTGTTTGATTTTCTGGATGAAAAAAAGAAATAGAAGAAAAGGAACTTCGAAAATTTGAGCCGAGGGATTTCTATAGAAAATACTTCAATAAAAAAATTGTATAGAAAAGTCAACGAATTGATTTTCAATAGAATTGTTGTTCTATTGAAATATTTTCTGTAGAATTTTTTTAGTTCAAATTTTCCAAGTTTTTTATTTGATTTTCAGGATGAAAAAAAAGAAAAATAGAATTTAAAAAACTTGGAAAATTTGAGCCGAAGAAATTCCGTAGAAAATATCTCCGTAGAAAATTCTTGTTCTATTGAGATATTTTCTGTAGATTTTTTCTGGCTCAAATTTTCCAAGTTCTTTGTTTACTTCCGGGATGAAAAAATGAAAAATTGAATTCAGAAAAAGAAAATTCGATTCGAGAAAATTCTACAGAAAATACCTGAACAGAATAAAAAATGTACAGAAAAATCGACGAATTGATTCAAATAAAAATATCGAATATCGAACATCGAATTGATTTCGATAGAAATGTTGTTCTACTGAAATATTTTCTATAGAATTTTTCTGGCTCAAATTTTCCGAACTTTTTGTTTACTTTCGGGATGAAATAAAAAAGAATTAAATGGAGAAAAAAAAATAGAAAATTCGATCCGAGAAAACTCTACAGAAAATACCTCAACAAAATAAAAAATGTACAGAAAAATCGACGAATTGATTATCGATCGAATAGTAAGTATTAACAATACAAAAACTAATAGAAAACCTACAGAAATCCACTAGAATTGTCTAGTGCATTCGCTAAATGTTTCTCTGTAATTATTCTGCGCATGAAGCCCTCACAACCCCCGACATTCCCACCACAATCTTCTCCCTACGGAATTCTACAAGTGGAACTGATGACTAACGACACCTGAACGAAAATCGAGACCTGTAAAAAATCATGATGAATAGAAAAAAGTGCATTCTCATTCCAAGTCACCCATTCACTACGTACGTCGTACTAAACGATGAAAAAAAAAATCACGAAGATAGAAAGAAACGCTTGAAATAAGAAAACGAACGTAAAAAACTGTAAATATTAGTGAGTATTTTTGCAGTGATTATGAGTTGCAGTCAGCGTTCTTGTATTTCCTCATGCCATGCCGATTTTCCATCAAACTTTGTTGGGATCATGTGACCAAAACACTTGGCCCACCGAGTTATTCATCAATCTCTTGATCATAAAATTTTCAATTTTCGCGTTTTATCGCTTTAATTGGGAAAACTTACAGCTACAGTTGAACCATTCTTCCCAACTCCACCAGTAAATATCACGGAAAACATGGAATATAAGCTCGTTAATGCACACACAGCCGTCATACCGCCTATCAAATACTTAAACTGTAAACCGTTTATGTAAGGCATCTGTAAGAAATTGTCTATTTTAATTATAACTGGTACATCATCAGCATTCAGCTGAACCGAATGATTTAAATCCATTAACGTAGACCGAGAGGAGAGTGACGGGGGAAATATTTCAAGTCAAATTATCAGTGGAATTCACCGGAAATGCCAAAACAGGAACGATAAATGTGGGTGAATATATGTCACTCGTGTGCTAATGTGAGTTTAACACTGAGGAGAAAAAAAAATTGTGACTGAGTCGTAATTAGAAATTAATACAACCTCTGTCATCCATATTTGTGGCCCGAAGATTGCTGATATCAGGTGGATTCCCATTATTGTGAATTGAGCCTCTGTCACGTCGATTTTTCCGAATTTCAAGGAGCCTGAGGATTAAACAAGAGAATATTTAGTGGGCATGTGATTTTGGGATTCACGTATGAAAAATTTTCGTAGAAAAATCTAATAGACAAAGTTTATAGAAAAAGTCAATGGAATAGATTTTTCTATACAACTTATTTCATTGAGATATTTTCTACAGAATTTCCTCGCCTCAAATTTTCTATTTTTTGTTCATCCAATATATTAATTTAAAATTTAAGTTAATTAAATTTATTTAATTTATTTAGATAAATTAAATTAATTTGATTAATTAATTTTTTATTTTTTTTTATTTTTTTTTTTGGATGAAAAAAAAATAAACCAAAAAATAGAATTAAAAAAAATAGAATTTGAAAACTAATAGAAAGTTCAATAGAATTATCTGGCGAATTCGCAACGTTTTTCATAAAAATTTTTGTCTGGTTATTACCTGACACGTACGACTGCCAATGGGCACAATAGAACAACGTCATAGCGCAGAAACATTGGAAAAACATCCATGTGGGGTAGTAGCCTAGCTGTACTGCGATGCAGGCTGATAATGCGACGAAAACTGTGAATTCAAATGAAAATCATTAGTAAAGAGACGATTATGGATCAAGTGATCATGAGAGCAGAAAATTTAATGGATAAACCTCAATTTTTTTTATTGCTCGAGATGTATTTCATCGTTTGTTTCGTTAGTTTACTGATTAGCTGAACACGTAACTCTTCAACTATTCTGTTTATTTGTGATTGGAGAATGTAAAACTAAACTGTTAGAAGTGGAAAATCTATCATTTTTAGAAATAAGAAATTCATTCATTCAATAGGAAAATTTAGCCCTTTCTCTAAAAATTCTGCTCAATTTTTTTTTAACTCCAAAACAATTCCATTGGAGTTCTCTTTGATTTCTATGGAAATTCAATTGAAAATTTTCACTTGTTTTTTGCACTGATTCCATTAAAAATCATAACTTTTTTGGACAATTTCTTAATAGATATTCCATACAATAAAGTCAATAAATTTTTATTTTCTAGCATTAATATAAAAATTATTTCAAATAATTGTTTGAATTCTTGTGAAAAAATCCCAAGAAAAAAATTCATGTAGAAAAACATTATTTATGTAAAGTTTATGATTTATTTATTCAATATAAAAATTTATGTAGTAATTTATGTATCAAAAAATTATATAATAAAAAATTAGAAACTTTAATTAAAATCAACGCAAAAAACAACTGGAATTTCAATAAAAAAAATTTCATACATTATTTTCAGACAAAAAACCTTTTGTTTTTTAAAGTGAAAGAAATTCCGAAAGAGAAAATTCGGAAAAAAATCACTCATTAGTAGAATAACTCTTTAATTGCAATTTGCAGACACGGCAAATCGACTCAAATAGCTTTTCCACTTCGCTATCGAAATGAATGACTCATCAATTGATACAAATTATCATTCAGTGATTAAACTAATTACCAGTGGAGACAGAATCACAGCCATGGTCGAATAACTCCCCAAGAGGTGACGATGTCCCTGTTCTCCTCGCCTGTTTTCCATCTATAGAATCCAGGCTTTGATAAATAAATAATCCTAGAGCGCAGAGGAAACATGCCCATCTCGGTGCCTGGAAAAATTCGAAGGAATTTGATTGTATAAATGACGATGAATCATTCTAAACGAGAGCAAGAAATAACTCCAGGCCTTTCAATAATTAATTAACAATAAATATTTTGATGCAAATTATTTTGAGAAATTTTCAAGCAGGGATTGGCGATAATCATCACTTTAGTTATTTGAAATTTGGAAATAATTTCAATTTTAAATTGATTATTACAGAATTAATTCTAAATTTCTGAATTTGATTCTTTGATTAATGAGACAATCGTCAATTTTTCAAGGTCGATTACTGATTTACAAAATATTTGAACAGTTGAAAAATTTGCTTGACGATTAATTTAATCAAAATTCAAAAATTGCGCAATTCAGTTGAATAATGTGGAATGTAATGAAGTAATTTTAATGCAATATTATGATTATGTTGAGCTCTGTTTCAACAGATTTCCCTCTGTCCTAAATCCCTTTTCCCCTAGATATTCAAAAAATAATTCACACATTTCGTTCAATGCTTCATATATTACTGAGATATTTCTCATAAAATCAATAATTACTGCACTTATTTGACTTACGAACACTATGATTGACAAATAAACTCAAGTAGTTCTATATTCACTCCGTAAATAATTAAATCTACTGGAAATAATCCCCTGAATTTGCAAGACCGAATCATGCTGAGGAAAGAATTACGCTAAATCCGTTTTCCCCCTAAATATTTAAAAAATGCTCCACAAATTTCGTTCAATTCTTCATGCAAAGATATTTCTCATGAATAATATGACGACTCAGATATTTGACTCATGAATAATATGATTGACGAACGAACTCAAATATTCTAATATTTTCAATTGACTACTGCAGAATTAATTCTAAATTTTTGAATTTGATTTTTCCATTAATGAAAATTAAATAATTGTGCAATACAGATAACTGATTTCTAAGGGAATGAAGTAATTTTAATTCAACATTATGCTGACGTCTGTTTTCAACAGATTTCCCTCTGTCCTAAATCCCTTTTCCCCTAGATATTGAAAAAATAATTCACACATTTCGTTCAATGCTTCACATATTACTGAGATATTTCAAATAAAATCAATAAATTACTGCACTTATTTGACTTAAGAACACTATGATTGACAAATAAACTCAAGCAGATCTATATTCACTCCGAAAATAATTAAATCTACTGGAAATAATCCTCTGAATTTGCAAGAACGAATTATGCTGAGGAAAGAATTACGCTAAATCCGTTTTCCCCTAGATATTTAAAAGACAATCCGCAAATTTCGTTCAATTCTCCATACCAATATATTTCTCATGAATAATATGAGTGAACGAACTCAAATATTTCAATATTTTCAATTGACTACTGCAGAATTAATTCTAAATTTTTGAATCTGATTTTTCAATTAATGAAAATAAAATAATTGTGCAATACAGATAACTGATTTCTAAGGGAATGAAGTAATTTTAATTCAACATTATGATTATGCTGACGTCTGTTTTCAACAGATTTCCCTCTGTCCTAAATCCCTTTTCCCCTAGATATTCAAAAAATAATTCACACATTTCGTTCAATGCTTCACATATTACTGAGATATTTCAAATAAAATCAATAAATTACTGCACTTATTTGACTTACGAACACTATGATTGACAAATAAACTCAAGCAGATCTATATTCACTCCGAAAATAATTAAATCTACTGGAAATAATCCTCTGAATTTGCAAGAACGAATTATGCTGAGGAAAGAATTACGCTAAATCCTTTTCCCCCTAGATATTTAAAAGACAATCCGCAAATTTCGTTCAATTCTCCATACCAATATATTTCTCATGAATAATATGAGTGAACGAACTCAAATATTTCAATATTTTCAATTGACTACTGCAGAATTAATTCTAAATTTTTGAATCTGATTTTTCAATTAATGAAAATAAAATAATTGTGCAATACAGTTAACTGATTTCTAAGGGAATGAAGTAATTTTAATTCAACATTATGCTGACGTCTGTTTTCAACAGATTTCCCTCTGCCCTAAATCCCTTTTCCCCTAGATATTCCAAAAAATAATTCACACATTTCGTTCAATGCTTCACATATTACTGAGATATTTCAAATAAAATCAATAAATTACTGCACTTATTTGACTTACGAACACTATGATTGACAAATAAACTCAAGCAGATCTATATTCACTCCGAAAATAATTAAATCTACTGGAAATAATCCTCTGAATTTGCAAGAACGAATTATGCTGAGGAAAGAATTACGTTAAATTCGTTTTCCCCTAGATATTTAAAAGACAATCCGCAAATTTCGTTCAATTCTCCATACCAATATATTTCTCATGAATAATATGAGTGAACGAACTCAAATATTTCAATATTTTCAATTGACTACTGCAGAATTAATTCTAAATTTTTGAATCTGATTTTTCAATTAATGAAAATAAAATAATTGTGCAATACAGTTAACTGATTTCTAAGGGAATGAAGTAATTTNAAACTCAAGCAGATCTATATTCACTCCGAAAATAATTAAATCTACTGGAAATAATCCTCTGAATTTGCAAAACCAAATTATGCTGAGGAAAGAATTACGCTAAATCCGTTTTCCCCCTAGATATTTAAAAAACGCTCCGCAAATTTCGTTCAATTCTCCATACCAATATATGTCTCATGAATAATATGATGCCTAATACTCTATATTCTTATGTCTATTTCTCAATAGATATTCCATACAATAAACTAAATAGATTTTTATTTTCTAGCATTAACTATTCCCTTTAGATTGTTTCTATTCTCCAATGTCCCTCAGCCAATCCCAACTTATCAACAATTAAAAAATTTCTACAGTCCCCTCCCCACCCCCAACGACTTTCACAAACCCCCAAGTTAAATAACACCAGAATGAGCCAACCCCCAAAATTATGCAACAAATACCTCGGCTTTGGCATCAGGACTGTAATAAACAAGAATGAGTGTCGTCGCAATGTTAATAATAAGTCCAACGACAGTGATGAGATTCGGTGCTAGCCAGAGTGGAACTTTGCTGACAAGCCATTCCCACCAGGGCTGCAGATACGCATCCAGCAGACTAGCATTCGTGCAGCTGTACTTGTGCTCAGACAGTCTCTTCAACTGTCCCGGGGAGAGAATTTTGTCCTTGTAAAAGTGCATCATATTGTCTTCTTGACACAGGAAACCCCGTTTCCTATTCAATCGAGTTCAAGTCGCTTCCTCTGTTCCCCGAATGGTTATTCAACTCTGAAAATCCATAAAATGTATCGTATTACAGGTGACATTGAAGAGTGAACTCGTCCGCTCGGCATTCCAACTGCCGAGCGTGATAGAATGGGAGTAAAAAAATTTCGTACTTATTTTCATCAGTTTTCCATTCCTCAGGGCACCTCGGGACGTTTTTGGAGCGGCTCACGACTGTCCTTCAATTACTCAACTGTGAAAACTGTGGGACACGCTCTGTTTGAGGTTATTGGGCACTAGCACTTGATCTACGTTGTTGTGTTGTTTACCTTGCGAATGGTTATTTAAATTAGAGGGGAGTGATCCTTGGGTAAACAAAATCCTCGAGAATCATCGGAGTTTCGAGACCTCTCCAGTTTTGTAGCGCTTTATGCAGCGATTCTACCTTGAGAAAATGTAGAATGCACGTCCAACTCACTCGCGATAATTCTTGGTAGTCCTCGTTGGCAGTACCGCGAGTACTGCCTGCGGAAATGTGACGGGAAGGAGCGGGAGACGCGCAGGAACCGCTGTAACGCGTGGAAAAACGCTCGCCGCGTTTTCAGATAAAACGGGGGCTGGCCATTGGCGCAAGGGGGGGGGGAGTCGCGCTGAATGGCTGAGGAGATTGGGCGATCAAGCAATCACCTGACATCCAACCAATGGGGGTCGCTCGGCCGCTTCGCTTCATGGAAATTTGGTTTGCGGCGGTATGAAATAGTATATTTCGTAACGTGTGCAAAAAAGTGGTTTTTGACGAGTGGGAGGTTCATATCACGAGCCGAAGGCGAGTGATATAATCCCACGAGCTAAAAAAAATTTTTTACGAGTTACGAACAATATTTTTCATCACAATGTGGCGGAAATTAAAAGCCTAAAAGTTCACTTTTCGTCACAGCGTGATGAAAACCCATTTTTGCAAGGATTTTTAAAAATGATTTATTTATTTTTTTTATTTTTTTATCGTTATTTTTTATTATCATTTTTCATTTTACTGTTTTTCTTTTTTTGGGTAAGAGTTTATAGATGTTAAAATCGCGGTTTTACGGTCCCAGCGACATAAAATAATATTTTACGACCCAAGTACCGAAAACCGCGCTCTAAACGAACAGAGCGAAATTAAAATTCGCGGTTTATCTGTCCTCGGGGCATAATATACTGTTTTTTATGGTATTTATGATAAATCGATGTTTTAAAAAATAACGATGTTGTGAATCGAATGTTCTGGAAAAACCACTGATTATTTAAACAATGATGTTTTCGATTAATCGACAAACATCGCGCACCCCTGCCCCACCTGATTGGTCAGCTGCTGCCATTGTTATTGTTTTATCAGTGTCAGCGTGAACAAGTGACAGAATTTAAAAAAATCGACTTTGCAAAAAAAAATCGAAAATCGATTAATCGTCCGTTGAAAACATCGACTAAAACCATCGACTTTGGGGCATGAAAAATCTCGATGTTTTCGATTAATCGACAAACATCGCTCACCCCTGCCCCACCTGATTGGTCAGCTGCTGCCGTTGTTATTGTTTTATCAGTGTCAGTGCGAACAAGTGACGGAATTAAAAAAAATTGACATTGCAAAAAAAATCGAAAATCGATTAATCGTCCGTTGAAAACATCGACTAAAACCATCGACTTTGGGGCAGGAAAAATCTCGATATTTTCGATTAATCGACAAACATCGCTCACCCCTGCCCCACCTGATTGGTCAGCTGCTGCCGTTGTTATTGTTTTATCAGTGTCAGCGTGAACAAGTGACAGAATTTAAAAAAATCTACTTTGCAAAAAAAAATTGAAAATCGATTAATCGGCCGTTGAAAACATCGACTGAAACCATCGACTTTGGGGCAGGAAAAATCTCGATATTTTCGATTAATCGACAAACATCGCTCACCCCTGCCCCACCTGATTGGCCAGCTGCTGCCATTGTTATTGTTTTATCAATGTCAGTGCGAACAAATGACGGAATTAAAAAAAATTGACATTGCAAAAAAATCGAAAATCGATTAATCGTCCATTGAAAACATCGACTTTGGGGCATGAAAAATGTCGATATTTTCGATTAATCGACCGTTCAAAACATCGACATTGGTGTATGAAAAATCTCGATATTTTCGATTAATCTCACCCCTGCTCACCTGATTGGTCAGCTGCTGCCATTGTTATTCTTTTATCAGTGTTGTCACCATGTGTCTGGCGTTCTGAAAAAAAAACTCATGCCAATTTCAATTAAATTTTATGTCAACAATCAGTTAAAGTCCCAGTGTCTATCAGTGTCAGCGTGAACAAGTGACAGAACATGTTGGTAAATTTCTGTCAAGAGTTTCTGAAGACAACTGTCACATGCGACACGATCACCACCGAGGGATACGAGGTCGACAATCTCTTGAAGAGCACCACCAAGGGGTTCCTGGCCTACTCCTGCATAAGGCCCCCAGTAAACATCGACTTCATCTTCAATTGTTGGGTTAGAATCCATCACATCGTGGTTTGGCCGCGGATTGGAGCGCAGAAGTCCTCGGGGTTTCGGATCTCCGTCAGGAGTCATCGTCAGGAGGACTTCAGGATCGTCTCCAGCTGTTTTCTGAAGGCAACCGAGGCCGGGGCAGTATTCCGTAGGCCTGGAGATGCCAAGGAAATTGCTGGACCGATGGGTTTCTCAAGTGCCTTCATCGGAGGGGGTCAGGTGGCTCTGGAGAAGGTCAAGGGCCTGAGGCTGTCGATCGTCAAAACTGAGAAGTCTGTGCCTGCGATTGAGAGAGTAGAGATCTGGGGGCTTGTCTCAGGGTGCAACAGCCAGGATGTTGCGAGGGAGATGGGGGAGCTGATCGTGAGGCCTTTGGGGAACAGACTGAGGCCTTTGGAGCAAGAGATTTCCGAGGAGAGCACTGGGGACGACTTTGAGGAGACAACTGACGCGTGAGTTTTTGGGGAATTTTTGTACTGATTAAATTTTCTTCATGAGAATTCTATCGGTGTTTTGGTGGAATTCTAAGCAACCATTCAAAGAAACCATTTTTTGTGGCAATCCTGCAATTGGAAATTAGGCAACTTTGATTGGCATTTTCCAATAGTTATTTTCTTACAGAAAAGTCTGTAAATGTTTATTTTGTGTAAATTATTCTCTATTAACATATTCAACTCTAACATTTCTTAATAGTTAACGAAAAATTGCTAATTTATTGGCAACAATGACTATTTTAAAAAATTTATTTAAAAAATGCAATTGACCACTTGTTTTACAACTTCACAGAGACCAACAAACCTCGACGGAGCCAATGAACTCCCCAGACATTCCCGAATTGTTCTTGGACCCAATTACCTGCAGTATAATGCAGCAGCCAGTGGTCTTGCCCTCCGGAAAAGTAATCGACCAAAGCACTTTGGAAAAATACGCCGAGAGTCAGGCTCTGTGGGGAAGACCACTGGGCGATCCATTCACCGGTGTTCCATTCACTGAAGCTCAGCGCCCTGTTTTCGCATCGACTTTGAAAGCCAGAATCGATAAATTTCTATCGGAGAACAGTAATTTAGTAGAAATCAAATCCATGCCGAGAGTGTTAGGAAGCAATTGTACTGGAAAAATCAAGAACAACGTCGTCGATTTGAGGAAAATATCTGCCAGAACTAGTGCAATTCCGCAAACGTGTGTATCACGTTATTCTAGTTATACTAGGCGAGATAAACTGCCAATTACTTCGATAAAAAAATATTTTGATAGCTGTAAAATTCCAATTGTTGCTCGGTGTTCGCAAAATTCATCACGAAATAATTCTCAAAAAGATTTAGTTAAGAGCGAGAAAATTGGGATCGATCAAAGCCCGTCAGGGAATTGTTCTAGGATCGACGACAATTTAGAAAGTGATTTAAAACTCGTCATGTCGAACTTGAGGCGTTTTAATGAGGATGAAAAATCCTTGGAGCCTGCAGAAAAAACAATGAACATCTGTTCTTGCTGCGAATCGTGTAATTACTACTACAAATTTCCCTGCAGTCATTTGATTTGTCGAAAAAAATTAGTCTCAACGAGCACAGAAGACTTGAAATGCAAGGACTGTGGGGTTCACTATAGCTCTAGTAAAATTGAAAGAATCAACACGTAAACCTCCGAAATGTATAAAAATCGAAGGTGTTTTTACTTATATATTTAGACAATAGAAATTACTCAAAAGGAACTCAAACAAATTAAAACGATGAAAATAAAATTTTTAGATTGCAAAATCTGTTTTTTCTACTACAAATTCCCCTACAATAATTTAATCCATTAAAAAAAATCAAAATGCAAGACTTGTGGCATTTACTACAGCTCTAGTAAAATTGAAAGAATCAACACGTAATCCTCCGAAATGTATAAAAATCGAAGGTGTTTTTCCTTATATATTTAGACAATAGAAATTACTCAAAAGGAACGCAAATCCCTGATTAAAACGATGAAAATAAAATTTTTAGATTGCAAAATCTATTTTTCCTACTACAAATTCCCCTGCAATAATTTAATCCATTAAACAAATTTTAAATGCAAGTCTTGTGGGATTTACTACAGCTCTAGTAAAATTGGAAGAATCAACACGTAAACCTCCGAAATGTATAAAAATAGAAGGTGTTTTTACTTATATATTTAGACAATAAAAATACTCAATAACAAAACACTTCAATTCGCTATTTCACTCAATTTACCCCCCCCCCCCCTCTCAAAATAAAAATATATTACTTCATCTAATTACAAAATACTCGCAGCTCCCCTCAAAGACCTCTTTATTACTCTTATAAAACTGTAAAATCGATTCCTTGACTCTGTCTCTTGACAATGCTCATGAGTGCCCTCAGATAATTCCTCTCCGAGGATTCCAGATAAAAGTTGAGGGAATTCACCGCGAAACTGGAGGAGTACGTGGCCTGCACAGAACTCTGTGCCTCGCTCTCTCCAAGGCTGACGAGCCCCGAGCTGCTGATCACATACTGTTCGACCCTGCTCCTCATCTCCTGGTCCATCTCCAGACGTTCGCTGGGCGTCTCACTCTGGTACTTCTGCTGCTGTGCCACCGAGTAACTGAGCCTCAACGAGGAGTCATCCCCAAAGTCCTCCCCAAAGCTCAGCTCCCTCAGCCCAAACAGTTTGTAAACCTTGTCCTCCCCCCTGTTCACCACCAGCAGATCATGCCTCGTGACAACAATAGTGACATCACACCTGTTCCCCTTGTTGTCCACAAACTCAGCGTCCGTCAAGTACAAAATATTATCACAATTCTTGAGCATCAACGACGCAAGCTTCCAGACGTACCTCGTGGAGAAGGAGTTGACCTGACAATCCCCAGAACTGGACTGCCTCCTGGCAGAGGGAAGGGAGTTCCACCCAGTCCTCTGGAGCAGCCCCTGGCCAGTCAGGGCGACGAGCTCAGCAGCCCCCGAGAGAGGTTTGGTGACGACCCCCACGAGCCCCAGCCCCACCCCAGTCATCAGGCCCTTGGCACTGGTCTCCCCATTCAGCAAATTCTGCAGAGGATGATGAGCGAGTCCTGCCACAGCCGCCAGAATGCTGATGCCAAAGCCCGTGAGCCCCTGGTAGAGCCCCTGCGCCATCCCCTGGGGCCTCGTCCTCCTGGACTCCTCCTGCCTCTGCACGTGCTCCTCGTCCAACGTCAGCCTGTCGAGATTCCTCGCGACACTCGACGCAAGTTTCGTCACCGAATTAACAGTCCCAGCAGTGATGTTCCTCATGAGACTGGCGGATCCATGAGTGACGCCAACGACGAACCCCCAGGGGCCCTGCAGCAGCCCCTGGAAGGGCAGAGCGATGAAGTCCTTCAGCCCCGAGCCCAAAGCCTGCGCAAAACTCCCAGGTGAGCCCAGAATTTCCAGGGAACCAACGACCCAGCCAGCCCCGAAGATAGCCCCAGACAAGTAGTGCATCGTCAGGGCGTTCCCCAGTCTGTAAGGAGTTGTGAATAAATTCTCCCTCTCGAAGACCCCGAAGTGAAGGGGCGAGTGGTCGAGGGCGACGTAGAGCCTCACCGAGGTGTGGACACTCAGCAGAATGGAGATGGGCTCGATCATCAGGCTCTGGATCCTCAGGGGTGAGCTCATGATCCCAGCGTCGATGATGACACTCGTGGGGGCATTTATCCTCCCACTTTCGTCCAAGGAGTCGACTCCCCTGGTGTCACCAGACATTATGCAGCAGGGGCGCACCATGGAGGTCGCGTACTCCAGCAGCTGCGTGACGTACTTGTCCTCGATGTAGATGTTGATGGGTAGAACCCTCACGTGGACGCTCTTGCAGGCGTTTTTCCCCTCGATCCTCTCCCACAGGCACTCCACACTGAACAGAGAGCTCCTCCTCAGCTCTGCGATGCAGTTCTCCAGGGAGGAAGTCACGTTGAAGGCCCTCTCAGGCTTCACCGAGGGCTTCTGGGAGATGAGGACCACTGGGAAGTCGAAGCCCCCCTGATCGAACATCTGATTGTCGAACTGGAGATCTCCAATCATGACCCCGAGGCTCAGGCACCTGACTGTCGACGTCACGTTTATTATCGTGTGCAGGAGGTAGAAACTGGCCACTTCGACCCGCTGACTGCCCTCGGTGGTGTTCAGAGAGATCACCAGGTTGACCCCCTTGACGTAGAGCGTCAGGAACTTCTCCTCGTCGTCCTGCTGGCTCTTCTGGGATATCCTGTTGTCGAAGAGGCCATCGGTCAGGCAGAGCGACGAGCTCTCGGGTAGTTCGGGGGGCTCCCGGGGCGAGGGACTTCGAACCTGCTCGGAGGACTTGGGGGAAGGGCCCTCCAGCAGCAATCGACTCCTGATGTCCTTCACTGACACCTCAATCTCAGACTTTGGCTCCACGGTTATGTGGACCGAGTGGCCTCTGCTCTCCACCACGATCTTCAGGTCCCTGTGGGAGTCCATCTGCACGTACTGGTCGAATCTGATGGGCTTCTCCACTGGGAGGTCGATCACCTTGAATCAGGGGTACATATCGTCAGCCGGGTCAATTCATTTAATTTATTTCACATGTAGGATTGAGAATCATCTTTAAAATGGTTTGGAAGGATTGGTATAACATTAGAATTCGAATATCTTCAAAGGCACTGTGTACTATTGCTGTGGTCCTTTCTTATTATATCCATCTTTTTTTTTTGTAAACTATACAGACTTGTGTTTATCTATTTGTTGTGAAATTGAAGATATCAAATTTATTAAAATTCATATACTCATAGATGGTTTAAATTTTGATAATGACTTGAAGAGAATTAAGGGAATGAAGAGTGAAACATCAATGACTAATTTTTAATCTTCGATTAATTCTGTTCTTTTTTACTTTTTAAAATAATCTGACTAAAATCTGCAATTGTTGAAAAATGAGGGGAAGGTTTGGAAGGATTGGTATAACATTAGAATTCGAATATCTTCAAAGGTACTGTGTACTGTTGCTGTGGCCCTTTCTTACTATATCCATCATTTTTTTTGTAAACTATACAGACCTGTATTTATCTATTTGTTGTGAAATTGAAGAAATCGAATTTATTAAACTTCATATACTCATAGATGTTTTAAATATTGATAATGACTTGAAGAGAATTAAGGGAATGAAGAGTGAAACATCAATGAATAATTTTTAATCTTCGATTAATTCTGTTTTTTTTTACTTTTTAAAATAATCTGACTAAAATCTGTAATTGTTGAAAAATGAGGGGAAGGTTTGGAAGGATTGGTATAACAGAATTCGAATATCTTCAAAGGCACTGTGTACTGTTGCTGTGGTCCTTTCTTACTATATCCATCATTTTTTTTTGTAAACTATACAGACCTGTGTTTATCTATTTGTTGTGAAATTGAAGAAATCGAATTTATTAAACTTCATATACTCATAGATGGTTTAAATATTGATAATGACTTGAAGAGAATTAAGGGAATGAAGAGTGAAACATCAATGAATAATTTTTAATCTTCGATTAATTCTGTTCTTTTTTACTTTTTAAAATAATCTGACTAAAATCTGTAATTGTTGAAAAAGGAGGGGAAGGTCTGGAAGGATTGGTATAACATTAGAATTCGAATATCTTCAAAGGCACTGTGTACTATTACTGTGGCCCTTTCTTACTATATCCATCATTTTTTTTGTAAACTATACCGACCTGTGTTTATCTATTTGTTGTGAAATTGAAGATATCAAATTTATTAAACTTCATATACTCATAGATGGTTTAAATATTGATAATGACTTGAAGAGAATTAAGGGAATGAAGAGTGAAACATCAATGAATAATTTTTAATCCTCGATTAATTCTGTTCTTTTTTACTTTTTAAAATAATCTGACTAAAATCTGTAATTGTTGAAAAAGGAGGGGAAGGTCTGGAAGGATTGGTATAACATTAGAATTCGAATATCTTCAAAGGCACTGTGTACTGTTGCTGTGGCCCTTTCTTACTATATCCATCATTTTTTTTGTAAACTATACAGACCTGTGTTTATCTATTTGTTGTGAAATTGAAGAAATCGAATTTATTAAACTTCATATACTCATAGATGGTTTAAATATTGATAATGACTTGGAGAGAATTAAGGGAATGAAGAGTGAAACATCAAAGAATAATTTTTAATCTTCGATTCTTTTCTTTTTTACTTTTAAAAATAATCTGACTAAAATCTGTAATTGTTGAAAAATGAGGGGAAGGTTTGGAAGGATTGGTATAACATTAGAATTCGAATATCTTCAAAAGTACTGTGTACTATTGCTGTGGCTCTTTCTTATTATATCCATCATTTTTTTTGTAAACTATACAGACCTGTGTTTATCTATTTGTTGTGAAATTGAAGAAATCGAATTTATTAAACTTCATATACTCATAGATGGTTTAAATTTTGATAATGACTTGGAGAGAATTAAGAGAATGAAGAGTGAAACATCAAAGAATAATTTTTAATCTTCGATTGTTTTGTTTTTTACTTTTAAAAATAATCTGACTAAAATCTGTAATTGTTAAAAAATGAGGGGAAGGTTGTGGGCAGTGTCAAAAATAAAATATAAAAAATAACTAATTACGAATCGATGGGCCTGTGGTGTTGGTGTACCATTGATTACCAAACGATGTACAATCACCCTCTGCTATTAGAATTTATTAATGTTGATATGTCCCCGCTAACAGCCATTTACCTTGAACCAGTCCCTCTCCCTCGAGGACAGGTGAAGTGAGCACTTGGTCTCCCTGGCATTAGCAGCGTCTGGGAGCATTCTCCCAACGTTTGGAGTTGAATAATGCCGAGACTTTCCCCTGGGGACCTCGCAGGCCCAGGTGAAGGGAGGGGCATCAGGCTCGACATTGCTCCTCCCTGGATTCACCTGACGAACGATCAGATCGAAGGAGCAGGTGTTCATTATCACCAGCTGTGGATGTTCGTCGTGAGACGCCACGACGTAAGTCACTTCCTTGTCCTTCTGGGTGGTTATCACCAGGGGGATCGAGGTGTCCTCGAAGGGGACTGCCACGCAGTTGCGACTGATCCCTGGCTCCACCCTCGAGGGACACGACCAGCCGAACCCAGCGTTCAGCAGGAGGAAGGGGGATTCGTTGCTCCTGGGGTTGTCAGAAGCACCTGCGACCTGGTACCACTGGCTGATGGGTATTCCCTCCCTCTTCACAGCACTCGGAGGGCTCTCCCTGCTGAGCAGCTCGAGGTCCTCAGGCACATCGACCCCAGAGGACGATAAACTTGCTGATAGCGTCGATATCCTGAGGCTCTGCGACGTGAAATTGCAGAAGATGTGACTGCTCATGACCCTGATCATCCTGATCTCCTCCTGAACACTCGAGTTGATGACTAGACTGCAGACTCCCCTGGCTTTGCAGTCGATGCTGACTCGGATTGTCCCATCCACTGGGATCAATCCACTTATCTGGGGCATGATGAACCCTCTGTTCCACTCGGAGTTCGCCAGCTGCAGGGCCGTGGAGTCGTAGAGCTCGTCGTCGATCTCGATCTGCAGGTGGAATATGCCATCTAATTTGGGGGGTGCAGCCACTCCTAGGTGAGGGATCTCCACAAGGTGATCACTGGAGGATACTATGGAGATCGGCCATCCCAGGGAGTTCATTATGTAGCACCAGGGTCGAATCTCGAACAACAAAGTGCTGGAGACCAGCCCTGCGTCTTGGTACCGGATGAAGGCGTGAGTTCTCCCTTGCTTCACAGGCCTCCAGACGTTCTCGTCTTCGTCCCTCAGGGGCCAGCGAGGCTTCACCTGTTAGTGATTTGTTTTGTGAATGAATATTATTATTTACTAGGGGGCTACGCCCTCTGCTCGCTCCGCACGTCAACATATGATCGTCATGACGTTAATCTGACCCTTGTGACCCTTAATCTGACCCTCGTAACCCTCGTTATATCCCTCGTGACCCTTATTTGGCCCTTCATTTCTGACCCTTAATATTGGAGTCTTAATTTCGAGCACCAAATTTTCATCACCAAAAGTCGGTTTGAATTTTTATAATATAGAGAGATATTGAGACCCTTATTTTGACCCTTGACCCTTAGTGTCTGACCCCCACGACCCTTATTCGGACCCTCAATCTGACCTTCGTAATCCTTAATCTGACCCTTGTGACCCTTATTTGGATCCTCAATCTGGCCCTCATTATAGCCCTCGTGAACCTTATTTTGATCCTGGTGATCCTTCATTTCTGACCCTTAATATTGAAGTCTTAATTTCGAGCACCAAATTTTCATCACCAAAAGTCGATTTGGATTTTTGCAATATAGAGATATCGAGACCCTTATTTTGACCCTTGACCCTTAATTTCTGACCCCCACGACCTTTATTCAGAGCCTCAATTTGACCTTCGTGATCCTTAATCTGACCCTTGTGAGCCTCATTTGGATCCTTAATCTGGCCCTCATTATAGCCCTCGTGAACCTTATTTTGACCCTGGTGACCTTTAGTTTCTGACCTCAATGTCTCATATTTGGACCCTTAGTCTGACCCTGGTGACCCTTAATCTGACCCTTGTTACCCTTATTTGGGCCCTTAATCTGATATTTGTGACCCTCAATCTTGTGACCCAAAATCTGCCCCACATAACCCTCAAATAGACCCTTGTGGACCTTATCTGCCCCCTTATTCTGACCCTTGTTACCCTTAATCTGACCCTTGTGAACCTTATTTTGACCCCCATAACCCTTATTCTGACCCTCATGACCGTTAATTTCGGAGTCTTCATTTCTAGTCCCAAATTTTTATCACCAGAAGTCGATTTGGATTTTCACAATGTAGACAGATAATGAGACCCTTATTCTGACCTTTAGGGATAGGGAGAAGATAGAGGGTGTTGAGGTCAGTTTGAGTTTGATAGTTCGGTTAACGAGCCGAGTGAGAGTTGAGATAAATCCGATCGAGACCTTTCTATTACTTCCTTCAATCAATAAAGATCTTCATTATCACTTTAGACCTAAAATCCTGTGTTAAGTTTGTATAATTACAATTTTCAACACACCTTCGAGTAGAGACCCTCGAGGATCTGATCGACATCCTCCCTCTGAGACCTCTTGAAGAAGCTCCTCTGGTCCACGCAGTTGTAGGAGACAGGAATCGACGTCTGCAGTGTCGAGATTTCATAGTTGCTGTGGAACGTCAGCTGGTGGTAGTTCTCGAAGGTCCCAGGGCAGTTCACCTGCTGCACCTCCCCACAGCCAGGGATGGTCGTGTCGAAGGATGAAGACAGAGTCGGGGTCTCCAGTCTAGCTCCCACATCAACAGGTAGAAAGGACCTCACCATGTAGAGGGGGCTCAGGATCACCAGGATTCGTCCGTTGTCACTGGACTCCTGGACGATCCTCACCCAGATGCTGAGGAACTTATCCTTCCCCTGATGGGGCACCTTCACCAGCCAGGGCTGATCGCACTTGGCGTTCGCGTGAAGAGGAATGTCTCCAGTCCACGAGTTCGGGGACTTCAGGAACCTCAGCCTAATCGCGAAGTTCTCCTTCTGGTCTATTATCATCGACAGGGGTTTCCTGTTCGTCAGGACGTAGGAGCCGTCCTCAGAGACGATCTTCCTCGTTTTCGACGAGTTGTCGTACCTCAGAAGCCTCAGTTCAAAGTCCTCGATCAACGAATTGCAGACGATCAGCTGTCCCCAGAACGTTATCAGCTTCTGCGTTGGGGAAAGTGACTTAACGTTCACGTGAACTCCAGAGTTCGAGGATTTGTCGAAGACAACCTGTCGAACCCCGTCTGCTCTGACGTTGAAGGCTCGACTCCAGAGCCAGCCAGTGTTTTTTGTGGCGATCCTCATGCTCTTATTGCCACTGTGGCACCAAGTGTAGAAGTGGCACTCAGACGTCTGGAGGAGAATGTCATCGGGTGACTGACTCTGTCCAAATCTCACTGGGACATTACAATTGTTGGCCACCACGATCCTGCTCAGGATGACCCCCTCATTCTTCATGATCTTCTCGTCATCCTCGAGAGCTGAATTCCAGAGGCTGAAGGACAACGTCAACGTGTGGGAGACCTCAGGGCCGAACCTGAGGGAGACCTCCTGCCACATCATGACGACATTCGTGTGATCAGACCTGGAGACCTGGATTTTTCCAGCCACCTCCTGGAGGAACCTCTGCATCCTGAGGTAAGCATAGTCCATGACGTCGATGGACAAGCTCCCAGACAGGTCCACGAGCACCGAGTCCTCCCACTTATTGAAAACAACCAAGACATTTCGATGTTGAACAATGGCGAAGACCTGAGTGCTGGGAATGATGTTATTCAACTTGTAGTGCTCCAGGGGACTCGAGAGATTTCGATACACCGAAGTGTCGATGTGATTGTAGAACGCCAGATCGACGCTCCTGACGTTGAGCGTCACCTCCATCGCGGACACCAGTGAGGAGTTGAAGTAGGAGTCGATCCTGAGGCAGCCAGCGAGAGTCCTGGAGTCCAGATCCCCCGAGTGGAGGGTCAGCCTCCAGACGCAGGCGACAGCTCTAGTTGGGAACTTGCTGGGCAGCTTGAACGTCGGCTTCTTGATCTCCAGGATTGGGAATTCGATGTAGCGCTGGTAAGACGACAGAGACTCGCTCCAGAACTCGATGACACAGAGAATGCTCTCGAAGTCGACCTCAGTGTCGTCGATGATCGATTGGAGAGCTTCATTCATGTGCAGACGAGTGAGAATCCTGGGCTGGGGGTAACGCCAGACCATCGACTGACTAGGGTGCCTGGAGAATATGACTTGATAAGGCAGTGGCATGTCATCAGCTGTTCCGTCGATGAACTGGAAGGCCCCGACCTTGAGGTCGTCCTGGTAATGCTGCTCAGTAGCACTCGACGCTTTTCGTTTATCGTCAGTCCTCTCGTTCATCGAAGGCTTCAGGAATTTTTCTGACAGAGTTTCGAGGCTCCTCTGGACGCTCCTGACGACCCTCAGCTGCTCGGGGCCGACGTCCAGGTGGATGTGCTCGCTGTAGGCTTGAATTTTCGTCTGGGGGAGGTCCTGAGGGTCGTGCCAGCTCTCCCAACTGATGTTCATGGAGAAACTGCCGGACATTGGGCTCAGCAGGGCACGATAGCTCCCGTAAACGTTCGTTGTTATCATCGCTGAGGACAGGGCAATGGTTCCGTTCATTCTTCTTGGCTTACTCGTCAGTCCTGCTGACAGTGAGGACATCGAAAGGATCAACTCCGAGGTGGTGTCGGATTTCAGAGCCAAGACCATTTGTTTCGTTGTTATGTTCACGTTTGGAAGATTTGAAATTATGTTTTTTTCGGTTGGTACAGGTTCTGGTGACAATTCGGGGGATTCCGAGGAGTTGGCACTCGTTTTACTCCCCCTAAAGCACTTCAATAATTTTTCTCGAGTCGAGTCAATTAGATCGATCAGTGGTAACGAAAAATTCATTCTCGTGGGTCGACCCATGTCAACGTTAATCGACTTTTTATCGCCCTCACTTTGAATTCTAACGATCGCGAACGAAGGGGGAATCCCCGTGTTGGGGTGGGGTTCCCCGTTCTTCGTCTCTACAAACATTCTTTTAAAATCCGCAGCTGTTGGAACAGCCTCCATAAACCTATTCTCATCGGGAAAGGACATGGATATATCGAAGCAGTTGACCTGAAAGATTCTCGTGATGCTCTGCTGAGAGATGTAGGTGTTCGGCTGATTAATGAGGAGATGAATCAGCGGAGAAATGCTCGCGCTTCTGCTGTTGGATTTACCCCTCGAGTTTTCGTAAATTGTAATCGAGATTTTCCCGAAGTTCATGAGGTACTCAAAAGGCAGTATCGTGGGGTTCTTCGACCCTAGGGAAGGCAGGTGGCAGCCCACGTCTGTGGAGGACATGTCCACGTCGACCCCACTGTCCTGACCATATTCTCGTTGATTCTCCCCACTTCTGTCTGCATTCCCTTCTCTTCCAGGTGAGTCCACCAGCTGCTGTCGTGGATGGGGGGACCCATTCTCCCTCACCCCCTCATCCCCACGATCCTCAGCATCACCAGAGGCTCGAGACAGCTCCACCAACTGCTCAGCCAACATAGTAATCAGCTTAATCTGCTCCAGATTAACAGCAACGTCGATATCAGTCAGACAAGTGATCTCCACAGCTGTCCCACACACAATTGTGTCTGACTTATAAATAATCGGTGGAGCCACGATGGAGCAGACATCGAAGCCAGAGGTCAACGATAGACACTGAACCTCGCCATGATCCCCAGTGTCAATCATGTTGTTCCACTCCAACGCAGGATTCTCGTTCATCGTGTAGAGGGAGGCCTGGGCGTTTCGTTTCGTCAGATTCACCTGACGATGGATCCAGGACGTGCTGTACGTCAATATGTCGTTTATCTTGATCTCGTACTGTCGATCCTCCACTGCTGATCCTGGCGTGCTCAGGATGTTCGCCTGTGCTGCAAGCTCGTAGATATCAGGACGGTGTATCACCCTGCAGATGGGGTTCTCCGCGTGGGGATTGACGCTGATGCCCTCGGTCCTGACGACTATCGTGTCGTGCTGGAGTTCGTTCCTCTTCGTCGACACTGGAAACACCAGAGTGACTCCCTTGAAGTCAGCGTAGATCAGGGGGAGGAGCTGGCGAGAACAATTCGTTAAATGTTTTTGATCCAAAGTAGAATCGAGACCAGAACTCTTGCTCGTCAGGGTGTCCACGTACGTCCTGATGACGTCCATCGGCAGGATCACCTCCAGGATCTGCAGTTTAACCACCACTTCTGTGATGTAACTGGACAAAGAGCTGTCGTCGATGTAGGAGTAATGATTCTTGTGAGTTTTATGGTGTTTGTGGTAGGAACTCCACTTGTTGTAGACGTTATTCGACTTTGCTCTCGTCACAGTGACCGTCAGGAAGTCGTCGGCCTGGATCCCCTTGACCAGGTCGTCCTGCTCCCCTGGGCACATGATGATCCCTGAGAATTCCCCCAGACGCCAGTGGTCGTTAAGGGTTCGTGATGACCTCACGTAATGGAAGACGGTGGCTGTTGTGACTTTGTTCTTCAGCTGAATGTAGATTGGCTGCCAGTCGAGGGACGTGATGATGTCCTCCAGCTCCATCACCATCTTTCGTTCCACGTGGCTGATGGGGTGAAGAGTGTAGAGTTTAACTGAGACTTTTGTTATTGTCCACTGGATCCAGGCTGTCATCACAGCTGGGCTCTCCTCGTTCTCAGACTCATTCCTCGATGTTGATGTTGTTGATGTCGTGTCCGTCTCCTCGGTGCACAGTATCGGAGGGCTCTGGAGGGCCTGGGGCTGCCCCACCAGCAGAATGTCAACCTGTTCATCACGTGAACGACTCCTCGATGATCTGCTCACGTGGGACTCGACGATCCTCGAGGTTTTATCGAGGATTTCGTTGATCAGCTTTATCTGGGAGTCTGAACAGGAGATGGTTATTGGGGACGTGTCGACGTAGATGCAGAAGCCTAAGGTGTTCAGGGAGGATTCAGAGTTCATGTGCTGCTTGATTGTCGCGTCTATCGTAGCGTTCAACGACTCCATCCTCAGGAAGTTCAACTGCCTTCTTGATGGATTTTTACTACTCAACGTGTAGCAGTGAAAGTCAGTCAGACTGAGGGCCCAGGGGAAGTTATTCGACAGCTGGTGGATCGAGGAGATGCTGAAGTTGTCGTTCAGCAGCTGATCAGGCGAGAAATTCGCAGAGTGCAGGGTCAAATGCGCAGTTTTGATGACGAAGATCTGGAGATCCTGGAGACTCGACATCGCTCGCTCCTTCGACTCCTCGATTCCATTCATTCCGATGCCGTCCAGCGATCTCGATGGCATGTACATCACCAGGGGCTCGACACAGCAGATGACCCCAATCCTCTTCCACCAGAAGTACGAATTCGTGACTCTTTTCACCACTCCAACATTGGCTTTGGCCTCTGACTTCTGGTAACTCTGCTGCTTCGATGCTTCCAGGATCCAATTCCACTTGCGATCCTTCTCGGAGGGGCTGTGAACGTTCTCGTGAAGACTGGGGAATGTTTTCTTCCTCGTGGACGTGTCAGAGGACGTCTCCTCGGTGCCATGATTATCAGACAACCCTGCGGAGGGCTCAGTCTCGTGGCGAATGCTCTGGTACTGCAGCCAATCGAGAAGAAGGGGATCCAGTGACGCTCGAGTCTGGGAGACCCTGAGGCTCACGATGACCGCGTGCTCCTGGGCCTCTGGGTTCTTCGGGTATCTCACCGACACCGACAGCAATTTGGGAATATTCTCTGAACCCTCAGAGCCCTCGGGGCCTGACAGCACGAACGCCTGCTCGTCGTCATTCAGAGCGAAAATCCTGACACTTCCAACGCTCAAACTCTTCGTAAATGTTCCCAGCAGAATTACCGAAGAGTAGTTGATACCTTCAATCGATAACTCGAGGTAGGTGGCGTTGACTTCGCTGAATGCATCGTGGAACAGTGACGAGCAAAACAGGGGATTCCCCGTTTCCTCCGGCCAGAAAATCGAGGTTAAGATTGCGTGGGCCATTGTGAATTTGGCTTTCGTCGTGGTGACGGTGAGATTGTCCAGCCTGCAGTCCTGGGTCTCCCTGGGGATGTTGATGGACTCAATGTTCACCCAGTACTGGGGGTAGATCAACGTCTGCGTGGAGAATGCCAGGCTGCAGGGCATGATCAGAGAGGTGTGAGAGGTCTCTGATAAGTACAAGAGGCTGGTGAACCCAGAGACCGTTCCCTCGATCCTCTTGTAGCACTGGCTCAACATTTTCTCTGACAAAACCCTCTGTTTCGACGCACAAGCTGCTAATCTGAACGAGTACATGGGGGCGACCATCTCCCCCTGAAGATGATCCAAATTAAGAAGTAGTCTGGGGTAATCCAGGAATTTGTTCAGCGGAAATTTCCTCCTGAAGTGACTCCTGTGGTCAGCCAACTGAAACTGAACCGACAAATTCGAGACGTTTATCGACGTCTCAGTCATGGGAACGAATTCGTTCAACGACTCGTACTCCTCGACTGTCACTGGAGGCAATTCCCCGACTGCTGGCTCGACCCTACGAGGAATGCAGTTCAAAATATCAGACTTTTCGATGGCACTGGTGATGACTGGAAGCCTGTGCAGAACCCCAGAGCAGATTCTCACCTCCAGATCCCCAACGAACAGTCTCGTAGCCTCTCTCTCCTGGAAATTGCTGTACTCGAAGTTCCTCGCTAAATCGAACAACTCGTCTTGTTTAATCTCCTCAGGAAGTTGGATGAGATGAACGAAGTCCAGGCAGAAGGCAGGGCAGTTTTTAAAAAATTCTTTGGCTCTGGTGTCTGAAGATAATCTCTCCTGGATGTTCTCGCTGTACTCTCTGGTCACTACTCCACTGATGGTGAAGTCCTCATCGAACAGGGAGTCCTTCAAGTAATTATTAACCGAATTCCCAGCGAGGAAGTACTGTGGCAGCTCAGCACTGGCCTTCACCTCGACGAATCCACAGCTGCAGTTGCCTCTGGGGGACAGCAGCACACTCCCAATGCCCATTCTGTACGCAGTGACTGTTATCCCCTGCTGGACAGCCTCAGCAACAACCCCGGAGAGTCTCAGAGTGAGAAAAGGTCGATATCTGATTTTCATTGACTTGTGGGAGAACGACTCCTTGATTGTCTCCACAGTCTTCAGCGTTAAAATCGCCTCCTCGATGTAGACTCCGAAGTGAACCGTGTGGCCGATGTAGCTGAGGGGTTGATCCATCGACAGTTCGTCGTCCCAGTCGACTGGAAGGACTGAAGCCACTGCGTTCCACGCCCACGTCCCCCAGCCACTGCTGTTGCCCATTGGAGCTGATGAAATGGTCGAGTCGTCACTCTCTCCAATTTCCGACTGAATTTCCTCGGTTATCGATGACCTTCGATGGCTCGTCAAGGCTCGCTTCGACTGCAGAGCCATCAGCATTGATATTAGTCGCAGCAGCATTGGGATTTGCTGCTCTGTTATCGAGAATTCCATTTTAGAGCAGTGCATGTCGAATCGAGTTATTGTGGAACGGTTTAGGGGGCTGCTCTGGCAGTTCATTATCGCTCTGATTGTCATGGAGCAACGGTAGACCACTGGGTCCTGGTAGATGTCGATTTTTCCTGATGAGTCCATCTTGTCGAGGCAGAGGGTCAGGTCCTCGATGCTGATGACCTTGCGCAGGATCATGTCGTTGCCGTTGACGTCTGCGAAGGTCGGCTGCCAGGAGTCGTCGACTGTCTGCATCGAGAGGAAACGGATGTTCACGCTGAGGACTATGTCTTCTTCCACGAACTTCAGGATGAGGTTGTTGCAGTTTATCGTTATGTTGTTGACGACTTTTGTTACGATACTCCTCATGTAGCCTGGGGGGGTGTCCTCTTGGAAGGAGTCGGGGGAGCGCGGGGAGAGGAGGTCCTCGCCCTTCTCGGAACCGTCGTTCATCTTCAGGATGCATTCTATCGTGTTTATGGTGATTACTATGGGCTCCGAGGTGATCTTCACCCAGGGGACGTGGATCAGCAGCTCGTGGATGTGACCGCTGACGAAGCTGAAGGGGAGGTCGAACTGCTCGTTCAGGACGTTCAGGCGGAGGTCCAGATTTTGAAAGGTTGCGTCGCCACCCCATAGGGATACCTGGGGGGATTGGGGTTGATATCAATTGCTGAAAAGTGGGGAAACATTTGGGAGGAAAATTGTGGTGAATTTTCACATCTATCACTCCAATGCATAGTTCATGGCTGGGATTAATGACAGGTGTTGCTGCAGACCCCGATGTTATTGTTAGAGTATTTTGCCATTTTTAATCAATTAATATGTTGTCGTTGCTCCACGCACATTTTGTTAGAGTTTATAGTGACTGCGTACTAAACCTGTCAAGGTAATTCTGTATATTTCAAGCAAGTGTTTACTCAATTTGTGCAATTTTCAGTATTACAGGCTAGAGTGTTTGTTTTGATTACAATCAATGTATTTGTGTGAGTTTTATTGTAAAATTTAGAGTGACATTCGGTCATGGAATTTATGTTTGGTTTTCAGAGCCTGAAGAAGCTGTGATTTGCAGCGAATCGTCGCGATTTGACAATAAATTAGTATTGCTGAACTCTTCCAACACCCCATTAATTATTCCTCTTATTGTAATTGGTAATGTATTTAAAAATGTTGTTATAACTGTGATGAATAGATTTGTGATGAGTTCAAATTGCGATGAGATATGTTGTAATAAATTGTGCTTGTGATGAAATAGATTGAGATGAATTGTGTCATAATAAAATGGAATGATGAATTGTGCCATAATAAGTAGTGATGGAATCGAAGTCTATAGCTATTGAATTTTCTATATAACTTATTCGGTAATATGATACAATATGTGACTCCGAATTTATTTCAATAATTTATACATCAAACTCTTTGGTTTTTCAATACAAACAATAATCTGAATCCAAAAACCGTTGTGTTCATAGATAAGAATAATAATTGTGTGGTGTAATTTATTGAAGAATGTATTGTTTACGTTTTGTTTTGTGACGAATCAGTTGATTCATTTAATTCAGTAATTTCTTGAAAGATGTTTGTTTATATCGTTCCGCACGTTTTTGATACTGTTCTTATATTGAGCCAAACGTGTTGGTAATTGGTAATGTATTTAAAAATGTTATGTTATAACTGTGATGAATAGATTTGTGATTAGTTCAAATTGCGATGAGATATGTTGTAATAAATTGTGCTTGTGATGAAATAGATTGAGATGAATTGTGTCATAATAAAATGAAATGATGAATTGTGCCATAATAAGTAGTGANATCGTCGCGATTTGACAATAAATTAGTATTGCTGAACTCTTCCAACACCCCATTAATTATTCCTCTTATTGTAATTGGTAATGTATTTAAAAATGTTGTTATAACTGTGATGAATAGATTTGTGATGAGTTCAAATTGCGATGAGATATGTTGTAATAAATTGTGCTTGTGATGAAATAGATTGTGATGAATTGTGTCATAATAAAATGGAATGATGAATTGTGCCATAATAAGTAGTGATGGAATCGAAGTCTATAGCTATTGAATTTTCTATATAACTTATTCGGTAATATGATACAATATGTGACTCCGAATTTATTTCAATAATTTATACATCAAACTCTTTGGTTTTTCAATACAAACAATAATCTGAATCCACAAACCGTTGTTTTCATAGATAAGAATAATAATTGTGTGGTGTAATTTATTGAAGAATGTATTATTTACGTTTTGTTTTGTGACGAATCAGTTGATTCATTTAATTCAATCATTTCTTGAAAAATGTTTGTTTATATCGTTCCGCATGTTTTTGATACTGTTCTTATATTGAGCCAAACGTGTTGGCAATTGGTAATGTATTTAAAAATGTTATGTTATAACTGTGATGAATAGATTTGTGATTAGTTCAAATTGCGATGAGATATGTTGTAATAAATTGTGCTTGTGATGAAATAGATTGAGATGAATTGTGTCATAATAAAATGGAATGATGAATTGTGCCATAATAAGTAGTGATGGAATCGAAGTCTATAGCTATTGAATTTTCTATATAACTTATTCGGTAATATGATACAATATATGACTCCGAATTTATTTCAATAATTTATACATCAAACTCTTTGGTTTTTCAATACAAACAATAATCTGAATCCAAAAACCGTTGTTTTCATAGATAAGAATAATAATTGTGTGGTGTAATTTATTGAAGAATGTATTGTTTACGTTTTGTTTTGTGACGAATCAGTTGATTCATTTAATTCAGTAATTTCTTGAAAGATGTTTGTTTATATCGTTCCGCACGTTTTTGATACTGTTCTTATATTGAGCCAAACGTGTTGGCAATTGGTAATGTATTTAAAAATGTTATGTTATAACTGTGATGAATAGATTTGTGATTAGTTCAAATTGCGATGAGATATGTTGTAATAAATTGTGCTTGTGATGAAATAGATTGAGATGAATTGTGTCATAATAAAATGGAATGATGAATTGTGCCATAATAAGTAGTGATGGAATCGAAGTCTATAGCTATTGAATTTTCTATATAACTTATTCGGTAATATGATACAATATATGACTCCGAATTTATTTCAATAATTTATACATCAAACTCTTTGGTTTTTCAATACAAACAATAATCTGAATCCAAAAACCGTTGTTTTCATAGATAAGAATAATAATTGTGTGGTGTAATTTATTGAAGAATGTATTCTTTACGTTTTGTTTTGTGACGAATCAGTTGATTCATTTAATTCAGTAATTTCTTGAAAGATGTTTGTTTATATCGTTCCGCATGTTTTTGATACTGTTCTTATATTGAGCCAAATGTGTTGGTAATTGGTAATGTATTTGAAAATGTTATGTTATAACTGCGATGAATAGATTTGTGATGAGTTCAAATTGCGATGAGATATGTTGTAATAAATTGTGCTTGTGATGAATTGTGCCTCCGGGCCGAGTGTCGAGTTGTTATTTGTGTGGTGATTTGGCTTTGCTTCAGGACTAGAAATTGTTTAACATCTTTCTGACGAAAAAAAAATCCGTCGATGCAGAATTGATGAATTCTGACATCTATATATGTATTTTAATTGGCAAATTACAACATCTATAAGTGGAATGGAAATTAATGTGTGTAAACTTGAAAATGAGACCTGATTTATCTAAATTATCCCATTCAATCAGCAGATATTGATGATTTAAGAAGTCCCATTCCACCCAAACTACCTCTAAACCCTGAATTTTTGGAGAATATATTCTGAAAATCCATCTTGCTTCAATCTCCATCCCTTTCCCATTAAAATAATCAAAATAATCAAGAATACCTGTGACTGTTCCGGTCTGAAATTCTTCACATACTTCCCAACGTAATTGAGAAGTACCGGAGTAATGTACGACTCCAATTTGAACATTATAAACTCTTCAAAGCTGCAGCCTCAGGCCCACCAAACACCACTCGTTACGTCTTCCACCCCCCGAATTTCATAATTAACAACCTAATAATTATCACTGTAATTTGTCTGTCAAGAGCAGCAGCTCTCCATTAACCTCATAGTCACTTGAATTGTTGACGTAGCAATAGCTCCCCACATCTGCTGGCCCTCCAGCCGCAGGTGTCATAATCAGTGATATCACACCCAATTGACACAACTTGACACGAGAAAATTTTCCCCTAACCTGAAAAATAAACTCCGAAAATTCAAGATAAGAACACAACTGAAGTTTGCCACCAGCGGAATCAGGCTTCTCTCTCAAGTTTTCGATGTCACTAGATGTGTGCGCGCGCTTTCGCGCGCGCTCATCTTTTTGTTGTGAAAATGAAGAAATCGAATTTATTCAACTTCATATACTCATAGATATTTTATAAATATTGATAATGACTGAAAGAGAATTAAGAGAATGAAGAGAATGATGAGTGAAGCATCAATGAATAATTTTTAATCTTCGATTGATTCTTTTTTTTTACTTTTTAAAATAATCTGATTGAAATCTGTAATTGTTGAAAAATCAGGGGAGGGTTATGAATTGATTTCCTAGAAAACTGAAAAAATCTCTTGAATTCTTCGGAAAATTTCAGTTTTCCAGATAACCGTAGGTCACAGATTTTTCTCGAATTATTTGGGGAACCGAAGAATTTTCGTGAATTTTGTAGAGTTTAGAATTTATGTATGAAAATCTGAGAAGCAAGAATTGATCATTTTGGCGTGTGATAAATATGAAAAAATTAAAATTTGGGAAGTGAAAAATAATTTGTGAGTTAAAAAAATTTAGAAATACTGTTTTTTTTTTCTCATGATCAACAATTAGGCAATTTAGATATGTTTTGATATAAAGATCAACTTCACACATGAAAAAATGAAAAATATGACGCAGAACAAATTTTTGCCATTTGAAGAATTTGAAAATTCCGGGATTTTTTTTCAGCGACTGATTCACGTGACTCATTGACCAATCAAAATTGCGGATTAGCGGTCAGGCAGTTTCGAGATATTTCGATATAAAACAACTTCACGTTTCTTTCATCTTTAGTAAATAGGACTAGGGTCACTAGGGATGGGCGATGTTTGTCGATTAATCGAAAACATCGATTTTTCATGCCCAAACATCGATGTTTTTCATTTTACAGCTCCCGTGAGCGGATTTTTATTAATTTTTTTCATTTCGGAAAAAAAATCGTGAGGCATTCAGTGGAGTCGAAAGACATCGATTTTTTTAATAACCCATCGATTGTGTAAACATCGATTTTTTCATTGTCCATCGATTCTTCGTAAATTCCCGCATTTTCCTCATTTTACAGCTCCCGTGGGCGGATTTTTATTAATTTTTTTCATTTCGGAAAAAAAATCGTGAGGCATTCAGTGGAGTCGAAAGACATCGATTTTTTAAATAACCCATCGATTGTTTAAACATCGATTTTTTCATTGTCCATCGATTCTTCGTAAATTCACGCATTTTCCTCATTTTACAGCTCCCGTGGGCGGATTTTTATTAGTTTTTTTCATTTCGGAAAAAAAATCGTGAGGCATTCAGTGGAGTCGAAAGACATCGATTTTTTTAATAACCCATCGATTGTGTAAACATCGATTTTTTCATTGTCCATCGATTCTTCGTAAATTCCCGCATTTTCCTCATTATACAGCTCCCGTGGGCGTATTTTTATTAATTTTTTTCATTTCGGAGGCAAAATCGTGAGGCATTCACATCGATTCTTCGATACTCGATGTTTTTAAAAACGCCCACCCCTAAATATCACCAAACTTCAGACCTAAAATCGCCCGTAATCGCGCCAAAACTCGACCGCATTTCCTCCCCCTCCGTTGGTAGAACTGTGGCTTCTCCTTCCCGAAAACTCGTGGTGGGGAGGATCAACGGATCAACCTGCGGAGAAGTTGCGCGGTGCAGTGCCGAGTGCTCCCATTTTATTTCGGCGACAATGGCGGCAGACCCCGAACCATTTCAACAGCTTTTGAACACATTTTTAAGCACCGACAACGACGTCCGCACTCAAGCTGAGGTACGATCTGTTTTTCAATATTATTTTTTCGCTCTCCGACGTACAAAATCGCCCAGTGACTCAACTTTTTCGTTGCGAGTGACATGAAGGGTGAATCACGTTGCCATCGTGTTTGGCAGGCCCGCATGGGACTTCCTCGTTGAAAATTCAGTACAATAATTAATTTCGTCGGTAATTCCGTCGATTCAACGATCAATTGTCGATCGATTCTTCGTAAATTCGCGCATTTTCCGCATTTGACGGCTCTCGCTGGCGGATTTTTTCTCATTTCGGGGGTAAATCGTGAGGGATTTAGTGGAGTCGAGTAAAATGGAGTCGTCGCGTGGCGGGGCGACACGCGCCCCCTTCGCTCGCCCGTTTCTCCATTATTCCAGGAAGAGGGAACGAAAATTTCGGGGTTTTGCACCCCCGGAGGGCTCAGTTCCCGGGGAAATCGGGTTCAATGATCCGCGGGGGCTCGGGCGCTGGAATTAATTGTCACGCGGTTTTGAGGTTACATATCCTGGCGCCATACTCGGGTTACACATGAGTATGGCTGTGCATCATAATGCAGGGGCCAACGTGCTTCAACACCACACGATGATTCAGTGCTCGAGGGTTTTTACTTTTTTTCCATACAAGATCTATGCGCGCGCTAATCTATTCATTTGTTGAAGTGAAGAAATGGAATTCATTGAATTTTTTTTTCTCATGAATACCTCATAAATATTGAGAATGAATCAAAGAGAATTCGACTAATGATTGAAGTGAATAGCGAAGTAGAGTAAAAGAATCTACAAAGAATTTTTCATTTTCAATTAATTATCTTCAATTTTTTTTAATAATCGGTCTCCATAAAAGGACAGAATTTATTAATTTCACCGATGATATATATACATGTGAAATATATATATTATATATCGATATGACGTGAAAAAAAAATTTAACACTGAAGAATTTGAAAAGAATGTCGTGAAACTCCAAAATGTGATTTTTAGAAAATCTCCGATTTTTCAGAATAAAAAAAAATTTCGCATAAAAAGAATAGGGGACGATGGGGTAAAATGGGCACTTTAGACTTTTTAAAAATTATTCATTACTCAGAAACAAATTTATTGATTAAGATCAGTTTAAGCGCATCACAAAGGGAAAGAATTCAGTAGCGAAGTGGTAAAAGGAGATAAGTAAATTTTGACTATTGACCAGTTTTCAATTAATATCTCGGAATCTAAGGGAGGTGGCGAAATTTTTGTTATAACCTTTTTTGTGGAGCCGATTGAGTGCTGCAACTAATGTAATTGCGAAAATTTCGCCATCTCCCTTAGATTCCGAGATATTGATTGAAAACTGGTCAATAGTCAAAACTGAAAATTCACGTTTTCCCCAATAAAATTTCTAGTGCCGGCACTGGAATTTTTTCCTGGCCGTCACTCTGCGCCTCTTTTCCCGTGCTAGCACTAGAATTTTTCTAAAAAAATTCTCCGTGTATTCTACCGCTTTCTACCATACCGTCTCGCAATTTTTACTATGTTCAACAGTAACTTTTGAGTGTGGCGGTTATGGTTCTAGATTATTATGTTCACAGATTTAAAAAAATTATATTTTTTCCGTGTACGTAACGAGCAAAAGCTGGAGTAATTGCGATTTTTCGTTTTCCTGATAAAATCGATGTGTACACGACAAATTTCGAGAAAATTGAGATAAGAAGTTGAAAATTGAGAGGAGCTTGTTATGAAAAACAGTTCTTAAAATATTGTTACGTGTCCCCCTTCGAAATGTAATTCAATTGTCAATGACCTGAAGGAGGCTTTGATAACGACTATCTTTTGGGAACATGATTCTGTCATTCTCTTGGGAGCTCTTGCACTCGACACATCGTATTACCTCGTTTGTAATTAATAAACCGCCCCAACTATTTAATTGACCTGTGTCTTCTTTATTCTTCGTTGGATATAACAATATATTAAAAACTACAGGGCTGATTTCAATTATTTTGTTCAAAATATTCGTCGTGGTTTGTGCTGTTTTGGGGATTGATGGGATTTCTTGGGGTTCTAGGAGGCGTACAAGAACTTACCGGTTGAACAGAAAGTGACATGCCTACTCAATTCAATATGCAATCCCCTTCTGACAGAGGAGATACGAGCATTGGCGGCTGTACTGCTCCGGAGATTATTTTCTTCAGAATTTATGGACTTTTATCCAAAGGTAAATAAGATTTTCTCCTCATGATTGATGCGTGACTGTTGTGTCTGAGAATATGATTGGATTAAATTGGGGCTTGTGTTGGTGACCTGGGGTGAATCACCTTTTACACAGAAAAAAAAACTAAACTTGACTGGAAACCATTCCTAGTTTTCAGTTAAAATTCCAGAATTTCAGACCTATTTGAGAGCTGAACTTGAATTTCAAAGATGTTTTCACTTATTTTGAGATAATTTTTCATGAAAATCAGTGAAGAAAGTTCTAATCTTCAGTCATTTTCGGTCCAATCGTGTTCTTTTATTCTAGGAAAATCTTAGTTCTGGAATTCAAAACTTTTGGTTTTTTTTTAATGAAAATATCTTTTTAGAATTGATTTTTCCTGCTCTAGAATTAATCTGCTCATGTTTATAAATCCTTTATTACTGACAGTATATCACCTCACAGTTCAAAGTTTAACCCTTTCGAATGTTTTTGTTTTATAAACGCAAAGGTTCTTGATTTGTAATTTTTTTCCAATTGAAATTAATAGGTTTTGGTACTCAATTTTAGGAATTTTTCTGAAATTGAGTAAGGATTTTTTAATTCTCAATGCAATTCCCTCTACAATTGAGCTTTTTAAAAACAGTAACTTGATTCTGGAAACTAGAAGTATTGGCATCTTTGTAAAGACAAAAAAAATTATGTAAAAAGTGTTTAAACAAAAATATTCAAATTCAAAAATACTCATTCAAATCCAGATTTACAATATAAATAACTCAGATAAAAGTAAAAATATTTTCAAGCGTAAATATAATTATAAAAACCCTTTCTCGTAACATCAAAAAAATAAATAAATAAAAGTTGAAAAATAGCTGAAGTCAGAAGAGATGAATTCAAGTCGACTTTGCGCTCATCCGAGTTTTCTGGAAATATCTCCGAATCTAAGAGAGATACCGAAATTTTCGTAATGACCTTTTTTATGGCCCTCGACTCGCTCTACAAAAAAGGTCATGACAAAAATTTCGCTATCTCCCTCAGATTTCGAGGTATTCAGTGAAAACTGGGCAGTGCTCAATCGACTTGAACCAATTATTTACCAATTCGCTCCTGAATTATAAATTTATTTGAAGTAATAGCAGTACTATTGTCTGACAGATTCCACCTGAGGCCCAAACAGAACTGAAGAAGCAAATTCTGCTATCAGTACAGAACGAACAATCCGACACAATCAGACGTAAAGTATGTGAAGTTGCTGCTGAAGTCGCTAGGAATTTAATCGACGATGATGGCAATAATCAATGGCCGGAGTTTCTCCAGTTCCTGTTTCAGTGTGCTAATGGCCCATTGCCAGCACTCAAAGAGAGTGCTCTTCGCATATTTACGTAAGCCCAATGAAATAGTCTCCCTCATGCTGAACCTGAATGAATTTAATTACATTTCAGTAGCGAAGCGGTAAATCGGGTTAAGTCGATTTTGACTTTTGGCCAATTTTTGGTGAATATCTTGGAATCTAAGAGACACAGCAAAATTTTTCTCATAACCTTTTTTATAACCCTCAATTGGCTCTACAAAAAAGGTCGTGACAACAATTTTTCTATCTCTTTTAGGTTCCGAGATATTCGTCAAAAACTGGTCAATCGTCAAAATAGACTTAACCCGGTTTACCGCTTCGCTACTGATTTGTTTGGTTGGTTTTGTGCTTTAGATCTGTACCAGGAGTTTTTGGAAATCAACAGGCTAATTATTTAGATCTCATCAAGCAAATGCTGCAGCAGTCTGTCCTCGATGCTGCCAACTACGACGTGAGTCAAACCACTTATTCGTTCATTTTGTTCGTTTATGCGATGGAAGGATCGATACATGAAGGTGTACAAGTTTATAACTTTCGTCACAATTTCTTCCTAGAGAAAAATGTTTTCTGATGACTGTAAATTCTGAAGTTATAATTTACGGACAGATACGGAGCAAACATTCAACAGGTTTACATTGTTGGAAGAAAATTGGAATTTCAGGGAAAGTTTGAGTAATTTTCGGGAGAGCGATGATTAATTCGATTTAGGGGGGAAAATTAATTATAAATTTCACTGGACATTCAGTGGAATTCAAAATTTTAATTAAGTTACGTGAATTTTTGGGTAAAAGATGAATATTCAGTATCGAATTACGCAGAATTTTCAATTAATTGAAAAGTCAATAATATATTTACCTGAATTTCTCGGATTTCTGTTAATTTTCGTGGAATAATTAAATTCACAGTGTTCTTTGATTTTTTCATTAAATTGTGAATTTCAGTGATGAAATTTTAGGAAATTTTAGTGGAAGCGTCGCTTGAGGACAATTTCGAAGAGGTGTATTGGAAAATTCAATCAAAAATTTCTAACAGTATAAAATATTACAAAAAAAATTCCATGGACATTTCATTTTAAAAAATTATATTGAGATGAATAAATCAATATTGTGCACTAAATTAAGCAGAATTTTCGATTAATTGACAAATCGATAATATATTCACCTAAATTTTGGATTTTTATCAATTATCCTGGAATAATTGAACTAAAAATTACAGTTTCCATTGATATTTTCATGAAATTGTGAATTCTCAATGGTGAAATTCCTTGAAATTCCAGTGAAACAATTTTCACATTTTGACAGTTCAGTAATAATTCTCAGCAGAGCGGCATTAAATTCTATTTAGGGAAAAAAAATACCAAATTTCACAAAAAATGAAATGTAATTCCAAGATTTCAGAAGCAGGAAGACAACAATTTTCCAATTTACCTGAACTTTAACTAAAAACAATGAATATTCGATTGACGAAGTGTCAATTAATTAAAAATCCAAGAATATACTCACTTCATATTCAGAAGAATATATTCACCTGAACTTTCATAATTTTCATCAATTTTCACGGAATCACTGAACGCAAATTGACAGTTTCCATTGATTTGTTCACCAAATTATGAATTTTCAGTGATGAAATTCCTTGAAATTGTTCAACAGTGTGAAAACAAACAATAAAAAACAACTATGAAAATATAGTTCCAGAATTTCCCAAATTATAAAAAATCCCATTCATTTCTGATCCCCTCGAAAGAATTCTATTCCAGAATCGATTTCCCGCTTCAGGTTCAATTCCAAGCAGTTCGAGCAATAGGAGCCTTCATAATTCTCCACGAGAAGGAGGCAGACATCCAGAAACACTTTTCAGAGCTGCTGGGACCCCTCGTTCAAGTGACCGCCCAATCAGTGGAAAAACAGGATGACGAAGCACTGCTGAAGGGCCTCATAGACTTGGCCGAATTAACCCCGAAGTTTCTTCGACCCCAACTAGAAAATATAATGGAAATGTGTATGAAGATATTCTCGAACGAGGAGATGGGCGATTCCTGGAAGCAATTGGCCCTCGAGGTTCTCGTCACCCTCTCAGAGACTGCACCAGCAATGGTGCGAAAGGTCGGTGGCAAGTACATCGTTGCTCTCGTACCACTTGTTCTTAAAATGATGACTGATCTTGAGGACGATGAGGAGTGGAGTGTCTCTGATGAAATCATTGAGGAGGATAATGACAGTAATAATGTGATTGCTGAGAGTGCATTGGACAGATTGTCGTGTGGGCTTGGGGGGAAGACTATGCTGCTACAAATTGAACAAAATATTCCAAGCATGCTGAGTAATACTGATTGGAAGTACAGGCACGCCGCACTCATGGCCATTTCCGCTGTTGGCGAGGGGTGCCATAAACAGATGGAAGCTATTCTGCCACAGATTATGGAGGGCATCGTTCAATATCTGCAAGATCCTGTGAGTTATTTTCGTTCGATGATTTACTTTAATTTTTAAGGTTTCAATTATTTTGATTTCTTTAAGGAAAAAACAGCATTAAAACTATCGCCAATGGGAGAATTTAATGTAAAAATAGGGCTTTCTCTGAAAAATTCAAAAGAATTTTTAAAGGGTGATGGTTTTTTCTAGAAGGTTTCAATCTAAGAACAGTAAAGTAGCGAAAGACATGAGGTAATTCAAGAAGTAATATGTTGCATTCATCGTGTGAGGAAAATATTGAAGAATGTCAAGATAAATTCTGTCCCAACTCTATGCAAGAATTCTACTGGGGTAGAGAAGACAATCTGTGCTGATTTTTTTAAAGAATTCTTGGGGATGAATTTTGAAAACTTTTTTTCTCGAATTTTATTATGAGAAATAAATAAAAATACAGTGGAAAAAGCTTGGGAAATTTATACCCAAAAGTTTCATAGAAAATAAAAAATCTATCGACGTTTTTTTAATTAAATGTCTTAACAAACGATATAATAAAGTTAATGTTCAATAGAATTGTTGAAAAAATCGATGAAATTATTCGATGGAATTCCCCCAGAACTCCAATAGAATTCTTGTAAAGTTCCAAAAAATTAACAATTCAATGGAATTTTTGAAAGGGTTTTTTCCTTGATGAAAGATGAATTCAATTCCAATTCTCTACAAAAATTCTACTGGGATACTATTAGAATATGTGTTTTTCAGTAGATATTTTTTAGTAAAAAAAAATCGATAAATTTTTATTTTTGCCTGTAACAATTCTTAAGCATAAATTTTCCAAACTTTTTTTCTTGAACTTTAAATGAAATTACAGTGGAAAAAACTTGAACAGTTTATGTCCAAAAAATCCCATAAAAAATATTTTCTAACGAATGATATGAAAAAGTTAAGAAATTGATGAAATTATTTAATGAAATTTCAACAGAATTCCAATAGAATTCTTGGAAAGTTCCAAAAAATGAAAAAATTCACTGGAATTTTTGAGAGAAAGACTAGGTTTTTCTATAAAATTTCATAATAAGCCTTGTGCAGTAATATAAAAACAGTGAAGTGGTGAAGAAAATGAGATAATTCAAGAAGTAACATGTATCCACTACTGTAAAAAAATGAATCGATGAAGAAATATGAAAATAAGTACTTGAATTCCCCTGATTTTGACCACTTCACGACTGATTTCCCAGATCCACGGACCGAGTCAGCGGTTTTAATCCCAATTGCGAGATAAAACAGCGTTACGTCAGTGGTAGAATAAAATCGACACTCGACTCAACCTGAAATTATCGTTTTGATAATTAATAGGCTGAATCATGTGTCTGGAATTCCTGTATTGTCTGAGTCTTGATGCGATTATCAAGTCTTGCATTACTAACGGGAAATTTACATTTCGAATTCTTCTCTACATCCTACCCTTTGCATTTATGCAGACGACAAATTCATGATTCTCTTTATTGGATTATTGCAGCACCCGAGAGTGCGATATGCAGCGTGCAACGCAGTGGGACAAATGTCAACAGACTTTGCCCCGATTTTTGAGAAAAAATTCCATGACAAAGTGATACCCGGACTGCTCATGGTGCTGGATGACAATGCAAATCCTAGGGTGCAGGCTCACGCTGGGGCTGCTCTTGTTAATTTCAGTGAGGACTGTCCGAAGAATATTCTGACGCCTTACTTGGACGCTATTATGGCTAAACTCGAAGGAATTCTCACTGCTAAGTTCCAGGAGTTGGTTGAAAAAGGCACTAAATTAGTTCTTGAACAGGTAAAATATCAATCAAATTCTTCCTCGTTTTTAATTGGAAATTCCAGGCGAAATAAGTGGGAAATTGTTTTTGTCATAAAATGGATAATATATTTTTGGTAATAAATTAGCAGCATAAATTACAAAATGAAGGTTTTCAACGACAGATAATACAATCAATCTCATTTAGAAGAATATTTTAAATCACAATTGGATTCATTCAAACAATTATTTTCTAAAAATCATATATTCGAACTCCTAAAGCTAAAATTAGTTATCCTGACAGAAAAGATTGTAAAACATTAATCACATTCTTCTTCGTTTTTAAACAGAAATTCCAGGGAAAATAAGCGGGAAATTGCTTTCGTCATAACATAGATAATATATTTTTGGTAATAAATTAGCACAAATTACTTTTCCCAGAATATTGGTTTCAAAATAAATGTTTTCAACAGCAGATAATGCAATTATTTTTAATCACAATTGCATTCATTCAAACAATTGTTTTCTAAAAATCATATATTCGAACTCCTAAAGCCAAAATTAGTTATCCTGATAAATAATTGTAAAACATTAATCACATTCTTCTTCATTTTTAATTAGAAATTCCAGGGAAAATAAGTGGGAAATTGCTTTCGTCATAACATAGATAATATATTTTTGGTAATAAATTAGCACAAATTACCTTTCCCTGAATATTGGTTTCAAAATAAACGTTTTCAACAGCAGATAATGCAATCAGTCTCATTTAGAAGAATATTTTAAATCACAATTGGATTCATTCAAACAATTATTTTCTAAAAATCGTATATTCGAACTCTTCAAGCCAAAAATAGTTATTCTGATAAAAAATTGTAAAACATTAATCACATTCTTCTTCGTTTTTAAATAGAAATTCCAGGAAAAATAAGTGGGAAATTTCTTTCGTCATAACATGGATAATATATTTTTGGTAATAAATTAGCAGCGTAAATTGGCATAAATTACCTTTCCCAGAGTATTGGTTTCACAATAAATGTTTTCAACAGCAGATAATGCAATCAGTCTCATTTGGGAGAATATTTTAAATCCCAAATGGATTCATTTAAACAATTATTTTATAAAAATCACATATTCGCACTCCTAAATCCAAAATTAGTTATCCTGCCAGAGAAAAAGGAAAATTTTGGATTTAACGAACGTAACCATTCGGAATTCAAAAATTTGAAAAATCGAGGCCCAAGAATTTTTAAAGATAATAAAATGAAAATTAAAAGCGATATATACAAAAAAACTGCATAATTTTCAGTAAAATTCGACTAAATTTCAATCTCTCACTGAATTTTTCGCAGATCAACGAATTTCTTATAATTTTTTTTGTCCTCTTTTATTCCCTCAGGTCGTTACTACCATCGCCTCAGTAGCCGACACCTGTGAAGAGCAGTTTCTAACGTACTACGACAGGCTGATGCCCTGTCTAAAGTACATAATCCAGAATGCAAATCAGCAGGAGCACAAGATGCTCCGGGGCAAGACAATCGAGTGTGTAAGTTTGATTGGACTTGCTGTGGGGCCCGACAAGTTCATCACTGATGCGAGTGAGGTAATGGACATGCTGTTGACAACTCACGCAGAGGGTGACCTCCCAGACGACGATCCCCAGATCAGTTACCTCATTTCTGCGTGGGCGCGTCTCTGTAAAATCCTTGGGAAACAGTTTGAGCAATATTTGCCAGTTGTGATGGGCCCGGTCCTCCGTGCAGCTGCGATGAAGCCCGAAGTTGCTTTGTTGGACAACGAGGACATGGAGGGAGTCGAGGGAGACGTAGACTGGCAGTTTGTTTCGCTCGGAGAGCAGCAGAACTTTGGGATTAAAACTGCTGGGCTGGAGGACAAAGCCTCAGCCTGCGAAATGCTGGTGTGCTATGCACGAGAACTTAAGGAGGGATTCGCTGATTATGCCGAGGAAGTGGTGAGGCTCATGGTGCCGATGCTGAAGTTTTATTTTCACGATGGCGTGAGGACTGCTGCGGCTGAGAGTTTGCCTTGTCTGCTCGAGTGTGCGAAAATTAAAGGTTTGTAAAGTGCTTGAATTTTGCGGATTCATTATTACGAAAATAGAATAATTCTACTTTCTGAATATTGCGCTTACTAAGGTTTTCTTCGAACAAAGTTGATTAGAATTAATAGCTAAAATTATGAGATTATCTCCCATTTTTGACGTTAAGGATAGGAGAATCTGAATGCAATATAGTGAAAATGATGATCGATTTTTTCACTTTGAACAAATAATATTAATATCCAAATACGAAATTTCTGATGTGAATGAAAAGAAGCTGTGACTCAATATTCCAAATGCAGTTTTAATTTTTAATTTGGTGCTGATAACACGAGATGACAATATTCTAAGTACGGAATTATATTGATGAGATGAACAACAGATTAATTGAATTACCGTGTGAACTAATTAAAAATTGATAACAGTGTGGCCACGCAATTTTACCAGAGTATCAACAAACATTGAATTCCAGAAATTCACACTCTAAAGTCTGTTCCAGAAGAAATTTAATTGTAATTATGATTAAAATCTTATTCAGTGAGCGCAGGAATTAGAACATGAGGAAATCATTTATCGTAACATGAAAATTTAACAGCTGATAAATTGGGACATATGATTCTCATCGGTCGCGTTGCTTTTTGCATTTGATTTTATTGAACATGAATTGATAAAAACCCACAAGCCTTCCAATTAATGTTAGAAGAGGGATTTGAAACCATTTGGAATTTTTTTTCTATTTTTTGCCATGCGAATATTCCACTGGAAATATCTCTTGACTTTTTATCACTAAAATTTTTTTTCAATTGACAAAATCGGATAATAACAATCTCTCAATTATGATATTCATGGAAAATGGATAATTCTAATTCGCCACAGATCGAGTCAGCAGTCCAATTGTCCCAAAATTGTGACGGCGTTACGTCAGTGGTAGAGTACACTGATACTCAGCCTTAATACTCAGCTATCGTTTTGATAGCCAGGTACGTACAGGTTGTTTGTCAAATGTTCCTGAGAGTTGATCCTGGGTATTGTTCCTCGATCATAGTATTGGAACGAACACTATTCCATAATTAACCGAAAATTTCTGTAGCCAAGGGCCGAGTCAAGTGTTCAGAATATCTGCATATCCCTTTTATAACTCCTTCATTCTCTATTTTCTTCATTTTTTCCGAAATTTTCTCATAAGAGATCAATAGAATTTCATGAACTTGTTCATGAATATAGACTTTAAATGGCTCAATTCATTGGCACCAATTACAATTTAATTCTTCATACAGATTCGAAAAAAAAATCATTTTTTCAAAGTCGATTTTGCCTATTGATCAGTTTTCAATGAATACCTCAGGATCTAAGGCAGATGGCACAGTTTTGGTCATGACCTTTTTTGTAGAGCGGATTAAGATCTCCAAAAAATGTTTTTACACAAATTTCTCTATCTCCTCTAGTTTCGGAGATATTCTTCGAAAACTCAGCTAAGATCTCAAAATTTTCTCATAAGAGATCAATAGAATTCCATGAACTTGTTCATGAATATAGACTTTAAATAGTTCAATTCATTGGCACCAATTAAAATTTAATTCTTCATACAAATTCGAAAAAAAATTATTTTTTCAAAGTCGATTTTGCCTATTGATCAGTTTTCAATGAATATCTCAGGATCTAAGGCAGATGGCACAGTTTTGATCATGACCTTTTTTGTAGAGCGGATTAAGATCTCCAAAAAATGTTTCTACACAAATTTCTCTATCTCCTCTAGTTTCGGAGATATTCCTCGAAAACTCGGCTGAGATCTAAGTCAACTTGAATGTTTTACGTTTTCGCTACTGCATTACTTACTCATTCCCAAAAAAATCATTGTCCAACGAACCTAACCACCCGCCTCTGTTCCAGGACCTCAATACCTAGAAGGCATGTGGGCCTACATCTGCCCAGAGCTGTTGAAAGCCATCGACACAGAGCCCGAATCCGAGGTTCTCCTGGAGCTCCTCTACTCCCAAGCGAGATGCATCGAGACCCTCGGGGCGGGTTGCCTGAACGCCGCCCAGATGGCGGAGCTCCTCCGGATCCTGGACAAGCTCCTCAACGAGCACTTCGAGAGGGCAGTAGCCCGCCTAGAGAAGCGCAAGGACGAGGACTACGACGAAGTTGTGGAGGAGCAGTTGGCGGACGAGGACAACGAGGACATCTACACCCTCAACAAGATCGCGGACATTCTCCACGCCCTCTTCGTCACCCACAAGGAGGCCTTCTTCCCCTTCTTCGATCAGATCTGCGGTCACTTTGTGAAGCTCCTGGCGCCAGAGAGATCATGGTCAGACCACCAGTGGGCACTCTGTGTCTTCGACGACGTGATAGAGTACGGGGGGCCAGCCTGTGCCAAGTACCAAGAGTATTTCCTCAGACCGATGCTCCAGTACTTGACAGACAAGTCGGGGGAAGTGAGACAAGCAGCTGCCTATGGCTGTGGAGTCCTCGGACAATTCGCTGGTGAGGCATTTGCCCCAGCGTGTGCCGAGGCCCTGCCCAGGCTCATCGAAGTCATCAACGAACCAGACTCGCGTGCCCCGGAGAAACTCAATCCCACGGAAAATGCCATATCAGCTGTTACGAAAATTCTCAAGTACAATAACAAAGCTATTAATGTCGATGAGGTACTTCCCCACTGGCTGTCGTGGCTACCAGTCGTCGAGGATGAGGATGAAGCCCCTCATGTTTATGGGTATCTGTGTGATCTTATCGAGGCCAATCATCCCATTGTTCTAGGCCCAACTAATGCTAATTTACCGAAACTCATTAGCTTCTTTGCTGAAGCATTGTTCAGAGACGCTGTGCCAAGTGATAATCCAGTGATTCACAGGATTATTGGGATCGTCAGGCAGATTCAGGGCAATGAGTCCATGTTTCAGGCATGCATTGCTGCTTTAAACAGTGAACAACAGCAGGCACTGCATGAGGCACTCAGTACACATCCAGCGAACTAGCGTTATTAAGAATTTTTATTTTATTAAGGATAATGTGGATATGATTAAATGGAGGATTATTCATTTGGTGTTTATTATTGGGATGAAGTTAATCATGATATTGAGGTTGATTCGGGGGGAGAGGCGGAGTCGCTGGGGATTGGGGGGCGTCGTCTGGGAGGACATGTATTGAAAAATTTAATGGGAATATGTGGGGCTTGAGGTGAGAAAATTCTATTCCATTTCTTTCGGTTTTGGGGCAATTCTGGTGGAGATTTTTGGCTGAAAAAGTCATAGACTTGACACAAATAGAAATTGGACATCAATTTTCGAGTTTTTTTATTCAATTTTTTTTAAGTCTAAAAAATTGAGAGAAAACAGGGAAAATTTGTATATTAAGGAATTTTATAGAAGATGTCTCAATAGACATCTAACTGAATTTTCTAACGAATTCGCTAGGTAAATCGAAGAAAAAAAAAGTGAAAAATTAATTCCTTGAAATTATATAGAAGAATTAACATCCATAGAATTTTTTCTATAAAAAGAATATCTATTGAAAAACGCACGATAAATTTACAAAATTTTCAGTAGAATTGTCACAAAAAAATGGAATTTTTGGATAGATATCTCACTAAAATTCACTAAAATTGAGAATGAGTAATTCGGAGATTAATGATTGTCGTCAGTGAGGACTTGTGTTGAAAAATTTAATGAGAAAATCTAGTGCTTGAGGTGAGAAAATTCTATTCGATTTCTCTCGTTTTTTGGGGCAATTCTGGTGGAGATTTTTGGCTGAAAAAGTCTATAGATTTGACAAAAATAGAAATTGGACATCAATTTTCGAGTTTTTTTATTCAATTTTTTTTTAAGATGAGGGAAAACATTGAGAGAAAATACAGGGAAAATTTATATATGAAGGAATTTATAGAAAATGTCTCAATAGAAAAAGTTGTATAGAAAGATGAAATTTTAGTGATTTTTAGCACTAAAAGAAATCTAATTGAATTTTCTAGCGAATTCGCTAGGTAAATCGAACGTGAAAAATTGATTCCCTAAAATTATATAGAAGAATTAACATCCAGAGACTTTTCCATAAAAAAATATAGAAAATATTGAAAATATCTATTGAAAAATGCACGATAAATCTAGAAAATTTTTCTATAGAATTGTCGCAAAAAATAGAATTTTTTATAGCAATCTCACAAAAATTCAATAAAATTAAAATTTTATTTTCATACGTGAAAATGTTTGGAAAGTTTAATGGGAAAATTAATGTTTTCCCTGAGAAGATCCTATTCAATTCCTTTCGATTGTTGGTCCAATTCTGTAGGAGACGTTTGGTAGAAAAAAGACTGTTTTTTTTAATAGAAAATTGGACATTAATTTTCAAGTTTTTTTGTTCAATTTTCTTTTAAGATGAAGAAAAAAATTAACAGAAAAAACTGAGAAAATAATTTCTCAAGAGAAAAAATTGTACAGAAAGACTAAATCCTACTAATTTTTTCAAAACGAAAAGAAATGTAATAGAATTTTCTTACTAATTCGCAAGATCAATCGAAAAAAAAACTTGCAAAATGAATTCCCTAAAATTATATAGAAGAATCAACATCCACAGACTTTTTCCTGTAAAAAAATATCTATTGAAAATCGCACGATGAAGTTTCAACATTTTCAATCGAATTGTCGCAAGGAAATCGAATTTTGTAATAGAAATCTCCCAAAAATTCAATGAAATTAAATTTTTTCATACCTGGATCGCTCGATTCAAAATTTCCGTAGTAAAGTGGTGAACCGTAACCGAAATTTCGACACCTCCAAGACACGTGGTTTTACAGAGTAAATAAAACGTCCGAAGATCTTGTAAAAATATTTAGAATCCATCAAAAACCAATCTTCCTCGGTGATTTATTATTCACTACAGCAAGACGTGAATTTTTGCGTTTTGCCACTTCATTGCTGATTCATCTTTGTTTCAACGTCTCTCGGTAATCGTCGTCGATTCAATATTCTTTGTGCCTTTCGATGCCGACGTTCTGAATATCAATCGAAGAAACATACCGACAAAACAGATATGGAATGGGGCAATGAATGATTGATAATTATTTGTGATTATTGATGAAGTTCATGGGGGTGTAATGACAATTTTAATTTTCAATTTATGTTGTAACTGAGTGAAATTAATTTTAACACTATTTCTTTCAGGAATTAAGGGGAGAAGAGGAGTAATCTAATTAATGAATATAATTAACACATCTCCATCTGTAAATTAATTTAGTTTTATCGATAATTTCGAGGATTTTTGATTTTCATGGTTGTCATGAAAATGAAAAATTTTGTATCGGGTAATTTTGTATCATCACAATTTCGACGACTGCATACAGCAACTTCTCGACGATTTTTTCAACAAGGCTGGTACTGTTGAACAGCATTATGTTAGACATTGTTTGTAAATAACCTGGCCATTACGTTAGTGCTAACTTTGTAATAATCGAAATTTTTTGTTATTGATAATATTAAATTATTGTCAGTGCACTCCCGTGGTAATAAATCCTGTACTGAAAGTGTAACGCATAGTAATTGGAATGTGACATCCTTGTTCTCTGTGCAATTGTCTGAAAAATGAGAGATTGGGATGTAGACAATGTTGCTTGACACCTCGCTGGGAAATAAATTATACCGTCGATATAATTTCGTGATTAACGAGGCAAGTCCAACCGTTTCGATGGTTTCATCATCACGGTGCAAAATTAATGGGCATGAGGCAGAGGAGACGAAGTTCATCCGCCAGTAAATAAAACTCGAATATTATTAATTATGTGATTTAAGGATTTTTTTTATACATTGAAGTGGATCTTTAGGTACCAATAAATTGTTATTTAATGGTGAAAGTGAGTTCGGAGTATCTAGATGACCATTGCAGAGAAGAAGTTTTCCATTTCTAATTAATTGAGACTTTTTCTCTTATTTGAGAGAAATCTTTTTTCTGTAATTCAGAATTTTCGGTTTCGTTCGCAAATTAAAAGTGTTGTTTATAAATTAAAAGCATGTTAAACAAGTCAATCAACAGCCATTTCCTGATTTTCTTCATCAGATTGCAAAAGTTTTTAATTTCTAGTAAAAATTTCTGAGAGAAATTTTTCCTTATTTTGGGATAATTTTCCCTGAAAATCAGAGAAAAAACTTCGGCTCTGGGTAATTGTTACCTAAATGTAGTATAATTGAACTCAGATTAAGACATTTTTTTTTTTATTCGAGAGAAATATTTTGTCTGTAATTCAGAATTTTCGGGTTCGTTCGCAAATTAAAAGTGTTGTTTATAAATTAAAAGCATGTTTATAAATCCTTTGCTATGCAAAGTTTATCACCTGGTACCTCAAGTCAATCAACAGTCATTTCCTGATTTTCTTCATCACAATGCAAAAGTTTTTAATTTCTAGTAAAAATTTCTGAGCGGAATTTTTCCTTATTTTGGGATAATTTTCCCTGAAAATCAGAGAAAAAACTTTGGCTCTGGGTAATTGTTACCTAAATGTAGTATAATTGAACTCAGATTAAAACTTTTTTTTTTTTTTTGAGAGAAATATTTTTTCTGTAATTCAGAATTTTTGGTTTCTCGTTCTCGAATTGATGATTATTCTTGTTCTAAGATTAATCTACTCATGTTTATAAATCCTTCGGTATTGAAAGTATATCATCTGATACCTTTACTGAATTAATGTTCATGTTAATGTTCATTAATTATTTACTAATTTATTAATAAATTATTAATTTATTTTATTAATTTTATCCCTTAGCAAAATACAAACGTTATTAATTGAATAAATAGACTTTTGGTAATTAATTTCAGACGCTTTTCTACTGAAATTAATTGAACAGTTGGTTAAAATCAGTACTTAATCCTGGAAACTGGAAACTGTAGAAGTTTTTAATTTCTAGTAAAAATTTCTGAAGAAAATGTTTTCACATTTTGGCATAATTTTCCCTGAAAGTCGGAAAAAAAGAAATTATTTACTCATAATTATAAATCCTTTACTACTTAAAGTCTATCACTTGATACCGTAGCTCAATTAATGTTCAATTATTTCAGAATTTTATCCTCTAGCAAAATGCAAACGATTCTAATTAAATAAATGGATTTTTGGTAATTAATTTAAGACATTTTTCTACTGAAATAACATGTCTGAAATTAATTGAACAGTTAAATCAAATGGATTTTTGGTAATTAATTTAAGACATTTTTCTACTGAAATTAATTACCAAAAATCCATTTGATTTAACTGTTCAATTCATTTCAGACATTTTTCTATTGAAATTAAATAAACAGAAAAGTTTCTAGTTTCCAGGATCAAGTACTGATTTTAAACAACTGTTTAATTAATTGCAGACATTTGTAAACTAAAACTAATTAAACAGTTAATTAATTGCAGACATTTTTAAACTGAAATTAATTAAACACTTGTTTAAATCAGTACTTGATCCTGGAAACTAAAAACTTTTCTGTATGACGATAATTTTTCAGTAGAAAAATGTCTGAAATTAATTAAACACTTTTGTTTAAAGTCAGTACTTGATCCTGGAAACTAGAAACTTTTCTGTACGACGATAATGATTTTTTTGGGTGTTTTTTACTGATAAAAACGCAAATTCCCAGATAATCAATAGAGCTTTTGTTCTCAGTTGTGAAAAATTTTCTAGAGTACTTCACTGCTTCTTATTTGAATTCTCCTGTTGAGAATCGAATCAGCCTATCCAGTGCATTTCCCCCTCCGCCAATTCCATTCAGTAAACAGATCACACATTCACAGCTCCGAAAAGGGATCGACTGCATTCTGTTCGGTTTTGTTGTTATCAAAGTGGAATAAAACGTGAAAGTCAACAGAAGAAGACTGTGAAGAGGTTCTAAAGCTATAATTAGTTACATTAGAAATATTATACACCTGTTCAGAAGGAGAAGGGCATTGTTTCCTCAGACCGACGTATTTCCAACGGTGAAGTATTTGTCAAAGTTATTCTGAAGGTAAATGAGCAATTCGTTTCAATCATTTAAATTATCGTAGCCCGCATTATGAAATACTAATGAGATTATTGACTGGTTCGATGATGATATGGTACAGGCAGAAAATATGCTGGAAATAACGTGCAACGATCGTCTGGGAAAGAAGGTTAGGGTAAAATGCAATCCAGATGATACCATTGGGGACCTCAAAAAATTAATTGCTGCACAAACCGGGACTCACTGGGAGAAAATTGTGTTGAAGAAGTGGTACACCATCTACAAGGACCACATCAAGCTCCAGGACTGTATCCTTTCGAAAATTACTAGGGATGGATGGGGTAAAATGGACACTAGACTTTTTAAAAATTATTCATAACTCAGAAACAAATTTATCTCTCTATTCTATATTTATATTTAATTGAGCTCAGTTCAGGGTCGTCACAAAGGGAAAGAATTGTTCTTTGTATTGAAAAAAAAATTATCAAATTTTATCAACATCTCAACCCCTCATTAACATTTTTAAAAAAGTCAAAAGTGTCCGTTTTACCCCAACATCCCCTGTTCAATTTTCTAAGAATTTTCTAGAGAATAGGCTAGCTTTTTCTATAATTTTTTTTTTCGGACGCAATCGTTAAAGTAGGGAAGAGTGGGGTAAAACGGCCACTTTTGATTTTTTTTAAAATGTTAACAGCTCATTCAATTTTAAATAAAGTGGAATAATTTTTTCCTCATGGAAACTACACTTCTTCCTCTTTAGAATGAGCCTAGACTGATCTCAATTGATGAATTTGTTTCTGAATTATGAGTATCACAAAAAAAAGTCAAGAGGGCCCGTTTTACCCCACTCTCCCTTACTGTAAACATAGCTTGAATTTCGAAGATTAGAACCTGAAATAAATTCTAAACGAAAGTTAATGTGAATGGAAACATTCGGGTTGATACTGTGCTCACTATTGGTTAAAAAAATAATTGAAGAAAGAATTTGATTTCTTACATTCATCAAAGGTAGAATTCATGGGGAAAATTATTAATGATGAATAATTTTTTTTGCGCTTTTTCAGTTTATTTTTCTGCGTTGGATTCAATGCCTCAACTGGCGTTTATTTATACAACTTTAAAGCAGTATAAACGTAGTTTGAATTTTGAAGATTAGAACCTGAAATAAATTCTAAACCAAAGTTAATGTGAATGGAAACATTCTGGTTGACTTTGTGCTCAATCGACAGTCTAGTATTATTCATAAAAATTAATCTAGAAGTGTAAAAATAACAGAGTTCTATGAGCAAATAAACTTAAAGTTTAGAAAGAAGATTAAAATCTAGAAAAAATCTCGAAAAATCAGAGGCAATAAATAAAAATTCTATGGCCAATGTGAAAATTATCGTCAGTGTCAAACTTTTGTAATAAAAAATTTATGTTTCTGCCGGAAATGGCATGTTATGTCGATACACTCTAGGCAAACGAGAGAATATTGTTTTAAAAAATAATTGAAGAAAGAATTTGATTTATTAATTTCATAGGAAATTTCATAGGAATTCATAGGAAAAATTTTCAATAATGAATAATTGTTTTTTTAGGCTTTTTAAATTTATTTTTCCTTATTGCATTCAACGACTCAACTGTATTTTATTCATAATACTTTAATCAATAACTCGGGAATGGGCGAGTGGAAGTTGCCACTTTCTCCCCATTTTAAAGTATTTTTTGGTTTAAAAATCATAAAAACCCATGACTGCAATATTTATTTTATTTTTTGGAATTTTTCTAAAAAGACTTGTTTGGACTTTATTTGTCCAAACATGTCTGTTTTACCCCACTCTACCCCTTTGATTTCGTATTATATTTATATTTTTTATTTTATATTTTTTCATTACACCTAATTATTGTATTTTCACCCTTAATGCAATCACCACAGATGAAATACACGACGGAATGAATCTGGAGCTATACTACCAGTAGAGCCGTAGAAAAAATCTTCAAAAACGTATCTCCACAATATTTTTATTCAATTAATCCTGTGATCATCAACTCACGCTGAATTTCAATCACTTCTCAACTCTGTACACACGAACATTTTGTAAGACATAATAAAACATAACGAATATATTTTTTAAATGTTTATCAACCTGTACATTTTTTTTTATTTTCAGTGTTTTTTAAAAATTAAAATTTCAAGCCATTAACAAAGAATACATTAATTTTTTCAGATAGTAGTAAAGAAGAAATCATTATTTGGTCAAAATGTATGCGCCTACTTTAAAATATTTTTGACGTGAATAAATTAGTATTTGGTTGGTTAATTCTCAGGTAAACCCAATCATAAAATTAAAAACAATTTCGAATTGAAAATAATTTTGAGGCGAAATGGTAAAGAAGAGGAGATTGAATAGTCTAAACTTTCCCTATTTTTATTACTTTGCTAACGACTCTGGGAAAGTATTTTAGATAAAAATAGTTCTTTCGAGATTTTTCTACATCATTATTGATAATGGAGATCGTTAACAATTAATCACGGGTGAAATAAGTCAATAGAGAAACCCAATGGTTTCACTAGGAAATTCTAAGGAATTTCTTCTGAAACTATAACAATTCAATTAAAATTTTTATAGAATTCTAGTCAAATTTTTTTGAATATTCCATCGATTTTTTGCTGATTTCTGTTGAAAATTCGTCGCGACTCTTCAACAAATCTTCAATAGAAAGAGAAATTCTTGAGCACAAGTTTTCCAAATATTTTCCGCAGTTTGTAGTTTACATTTTTAGCATTTTGTTTTGTTTCTCATTACAAAATCCCAGGAAAAATCGCAGAAAGCTCATGTCCAGGAATTCTTATCAGAAAATATTGTACTGAAATATCAACTTTTTTTCATTTTTTGTATAAAATATCTGGTGAAGAATTGAAAGAGAAAACTATTTTATTTGTTATAGAATGTCTATAGAATTTATATAGAACGCCACTAGAATCTTCTAGCGAATGCTATAGGTTTGGCATTAATTTGTGGCTTCACGTATGACAAAAATTAATAGAAAAATCTAGCGCTTTCTCTAAGAAATTCGATTAGAATTTTATTAGAAAATTCTATTAATTTTTTAAATTTCATAGAAGATCATGCAGCTTTACCCTGCCATTTTGTTAAGAGATATTTGATCAAAAAAGTCAATTTTTTTTGGCATAAAATTTCTATTCTTATTGTTCTATTTTTATTCATCTCCTATAGTAAAATCCAAGAAAAATTCAAGAAAAATTTCCGACAGAATAACTTATTATATGTAAAAATCAACATCTATCGTTTTTTTTCTGTAAACAAATATCGATTTAAAACCGCAGGGAGAGTTGCAGAATTTTTAATAGAATCGGCGCAAAAAAACAAATAGAATTCTCATAGAACTCCAATAGAATTTCTTAGGAAGAGCGCTAGGTTCTATTAATTTCTTCTATTAATTTTTTAATACGTGTTGCCGCAGATTAAAGTAAAATAAGAAACATATTCTTACACTGACACAGCATTTCTCCGACAAATAGGTCATTTTACCAAGAAATTGCTGTGTCGATGTTAAAGTGTGCCAGTTAAGCTAAACTTTTTGTTCGTTTAGTGATAATCTTATGTATTAAAAAAAATTCATAGATAAACCTAGCGAATCCGCTAGAAAATTCGATAGGATTTCTACTAAAGTTTCTATTACTTCTTGACCGATTCTTCACTCGCGAAATCTTCACTAGAAAATATACTATAGAAAAAATCAATAGAATTCAATTTTCATTATTCTATTGAAATATTTTCTACAGAAACTCCGGCTCAAATTTTCCCAGTTTTAACTAGAAAATAGAGTTAAAAAACTTGGGAAATTGGTGTGGAATTTCTGCATAACATTTCCTATTGGAAATTTTTTACTGAAAAACCTCGCGATCAAGCTGCCGAATTTTTCAACAGAACTGGTTAAAAACTAATAGAATTTTCGATAGAAATCCAACAGAATTTTATAGCGAATTCCTTACACTTTTATATAGAATTGCAGAAGACCTTTGGTCGTTTTGTGCATGCAATTATTTACATAATCTCTCAATTAATTTCTCTGAACCGATTAATTCGTCAATTATGAGTTCCTCTGATGTGGTCTCTTTACCATTTCGCAATTCAACTTTTGAAGATAGAAATTACACGAAAATAATGTCATAAAGCATTTGATTTATAATATCAATCATGAGTACAATAATCGACGTATGAAAAAAATTAACAGAAAAACCTATGGCTTTCTCGAAGAAATTCTATTGAATTCTACTGAATAATTCTCTCCGTTTTTCGCACTAAATTCCATTAAAAGTTATACAACTGTACAATTTATTTTCTTGGGATTTTTCCTATAAAAATTCTTGGACAGGAATTTTCCAAGTTTTTTCCTTGAATTTTATTATGGGAAATAAATAAAATGCAGAAGAGAATTCTTAGGGAATTCCAGGAGAAATTCTATAGAAATTGTTAGAGAAAATGCTAGGTTTTTCTATTAAATTTTTTAATGCGTGTTCCTCTGTTCTCTGAGTAATTCTTGAACTAAAGAAATTGGCGTATTTCTCACTATTTAATGCGGCCTCTTGAAATGGCTCTCTCCTCGATTAACAGGACTCTCAGGCTCTACAGTGACTCGACCGCGATTCCCCAGGAAGTCCCTTATGTGCTGGACTATCAAATCTATCGCCACTGAAACATAATCGATAAGTATCAATGACAATACTCGTGTCGTGGGAAGGATGGATTCGTCGTGGATGAATCTAGTCTTTAATTGCAGCTTCAATGGCTTCAAGTCCACCAAAAAGGGAACTCTATTCAATTTTTAACACGAAAAATTATGAAATTTTTTTTTAAAAAGTTGAAATTTTTATGAAAAAGCGACTTCGCTAGACAATTCTACTGGATGTCTATTGAACTTTCTGTTTGTCTTCGGTCGATTCTATTGAGACATTTTCTATAGAATTTCTTCGGCCCAATTTTTTTTTGTTTTTTTTTTCGTGGAAAGAAAAAAATAGAAAAAAAAAATTGGAAAATTTGAGCTGAGGAAATTCTATAGAAATGATCACAATAGGATAAATTGTATAGAAATAAAACAGTTTCTGTTGAAAAAAGTCTAGAAAATTTGCGGAATTTTCCAACACAACCAGCGAAATTTCATTTGATTTACGTTTGGGAGGAGAAATGATGGAGTGAAATAAAATTTAAAAATTTATTTCGGGGAAATTTAGGTCGAGGAATTTCTACAGAACATATCTGTGGGAAATATGTAACATAAAAACATAAAACTATTGGTTTTTTAATAAGACAGTTTCAATTGAAAAAAAAAACCTGCAGAAAAATTGTGGAATGTTTCAATAGAATCGCTGAAAAATCAGTAGAATGTTCAATAGAAGTTCAGTAGTTTTTCAAAAGATGAATATCTGTCAGCTAAATTACATTTCATCGGACAAAAAATGTGAAGAACCAAAAAAAAAGCAAGTTGTTTGCAAAACGTGACTTCATAAGCAGAAATTAAATCATTAGCGAAGTGATAAATTGAAATGCGTGAATATCGCTTCGACATCAGTTTTGCTTCCGAATGAATGTTTTGTGGTCTTTTTTCTTCCTTGTTTCCTTAATTAAAAAAAAATTTGTAAGGAATCAGTCAAATTTCCTGATTCTTCCTTGAATATAGACTTTAATAAGCTCTATTCATTGTCACCAATTAAAATTAAATTCTTCACACAAATTCGAAAAAATTGATATTTTTCCAAAAATCGATTTTCAACGACCACTCAAAAAATTGTCATCAAAATGAAATTAGTCGTGGCTCAAAAAATTGATAACAATACCCTCTTGATTCTGTCAGAATACGATGGGAGTCGCTATACACTGATTAAATCTTGATTAAACCCGGACTGAAAACGAATTCGAGTCTTGAGAGGATCTCAATGTAGAATCACTTGACAGAACGAAATAATTCGCAAAATTTTAATGACATTTCAATATATGATAGCACTATGGCATGAATAAATAGAAGAAGAGAATAGTGAAATAAGAATTTGAAAATGCAATTAGACAAACGCAAAGGAGAAAAAACCTATAGGGTCGTGTTCTGAAGAGAATTCCACTCATAAAGAAGAAGATTGCAACAGCTTAATTAATTCTGCTCTCATCTTTATTATCAATTATACTGTTCCCTCGCAGAATACAATGGCAGTTCCATAATATTTACGTTACATTTATGAACATGCACTTAATCGAGTGTCTAATTGATATTCATGAACCAAGGATGGAATAATTTATATGAAAAAATGTGACATCCTCCACATGTTCTCTGCATCATATAAAACGTTTTGAAAATAGGAAAATGTGGGGAAGAGCCAGAGAAAATGGATCTTTTTCAATCGTCAAAGCTTCTTTTGCCTCTCAAAATGTGCAACAGGAATTTAATTCCTTTCTCATATTCACCTCATGCTGACACACTGAAGATTTCCAAAGATCATTTTCATTCTGCCCCCCAAAGTGGAATAAAATTGAGCTTTTTCAAACTGACAAGTTACAAAAAATTTGCACAATTGATTAAAAAATTTCTCAGTGTAAATGCAAATATATCAAATATATCAAAAAGATTCAGGGGACATTAATACGTTAATATACTCAATAAATCAGAAGAAAAAAAGTGGAAAAGTGAATTTGTTTCAATGAATTGATGCACTGATCTTGTGAATAGTGTTGACAATTATCAACGACTTGTGATATACATATCGTCAATTGTTAATCATTATTAATGGATTTTTGCTATTTCTAGATTAATCATCTGCTGACGGTGTCTGAAGGTGTCGATGTGCGCCGTAGCTGGATGCATGGATGCTGCCCAGCGCCGTTATCAGCCTTTTTCGAATGTAAAATGTCCCAGATGTGGTGCACTATTAGGTCTATCGCCACTGAAAACATACAATACCAATTTTCGTATGTTTTCTCCTTTCCTCTTTTCATTCTTTATCCTTTTCAACGTATTCAGGGTACAATATCCGATAACCACCGGGCAGCACCCATACTGACAATAGATGTAGTCATTTTTATTTGACGAGATTCAATTTTGAGAAAAATAAACCTTACAACTATCGTTTTTTTTGTAATTATGGAATGCAAATTCTAGTGGAGAACTGAATCGATAATTTTGCTGCTTTGAGGAGGAAGTTCATGATAAATGCGTCTGTGCTCCCATACGTATGGAAAAATTGATTAGAAAACTAAAAAAAATCGTCAGAATATTTTACTTAAGGCCCGGGTGTACTATCCTTCGAACGTCATCTCGATGTTTTTTTCATCTTTCATCATCTGAAATTGTCAATTGAGTCCTGCATCATGCAGAAGTTTTGAAAAATTACGAATGAATAATAAAAAAAAGTAGAAGAAATTCTTAATTTTTTCAAAGAGCATTTTTAAGTTATATTCGGAACAAGTTGAATAACAAGACATTGAAAAATGTATCTGATTTACGGTGACAAATGGCGGCCTGTCACCCAATATCATGCAGGGGGAAGACTGATTTCGTAAATGTTTTCCCACACTGCACAGAGCCATTTATTACGGAAAAGGCTCTTTGAAAAAAGTTGTAATTTTTTGGAGAATTTTTTAATCACACTTTAATCACATAAAAATGGCAGATGACTACATACCACTGTTTTGAAAATTGAGATACCTAGCTGTCACTTCCCATGAGGAGTTAGTGTTTTGTTATTCACCATGGAAAATGACAGCTAATAGATAATTTGCCACAGCGAATCAGATATTTGTAATTTCCACTTTTTTCAACTCATTCTGAATCTCAATTAAAAACGCTCTTTAAAAAAGTTCAGAATTTTTTCTATTTTTTTATCATTCTATCATAATTTTTGGGAATTTCTACATGATGTACCACTCAATTGACAATTTTGGATTACGAAAAAAAAAAATCCAGATAACATTCGAAAGATAGTACACCCGGGCCTTAAATTTCTTTTTTTTTGCACAATTTGCATTCAAAAACTGCAATTTTTCGTGCGATTTTTTATAGAATCGACAATAATTTGACTAATTATAATTTTTGGAGACTCCAGGTCTATGTAAAACTGAATAGCAATTGGAAATCATTTCAGATTATCGAAATAAAAAAGAGTTTTAATAATAAGTTTTAATAATAAGGATATCAGACAAGGAAAAATCTCAAGAGAAGGAATCATGTAGAGAAATGAAAACCTATTGACGAAAGAAGAATAGAATTTCACAAAATTTCTTATAGAATTCCCATAAAAATCAGCAGAATCTTATAGCAAAAGCATTACGTAAATTGTAATTTACAAATTGAAAAAAAAAATAGAACAAAAAAAGAAAAAAAGAAAGAAGTAAAAAAATATAACAAACTGACAGTGTAAATAACCCATGACATCGGTTCCAGCACTTTAAATAAATAATGTAAAAAAGCATTACGTTTCTCTATAGGATTTTTTCACACGTGGATATATTTCAATAGTGAATGAATTTTAAATGACTCGTAGGAATGTTTAAATACTCGTAAGAATTTACCTGTGTTGTCTGCACCCCTTGGGATGATGACGTCGGCGAATTTTTTAGTCGGCAAGCAAAATTCCTCAAACGCTGGCTTTACGAAGTTCATGTACTGATTCAATACGTAATCCAGGTCTCTCCCTCGTTCTTTGATGTCTCTTGGCACTGGCAATTGAAAAATGGAAATTATTAGCAAAGAATGGATTTTCACATTCTGCTATTTTACGTGGGAGAAAGGGCACAGAGAAACTTGTTAGAGGCTTTTCGCTTACACCGAGAGAGCAACAAAAAAAAAGTCAAACAAGTCATCAATTGACAAATTGTTTATGACTAATTGCAGAGAAAACATCGAAAAATGTTGTTGAGGCAATTTCATATGCTGAAATGAATAAAAATTGCTCCTGTGTTGTATACAGTATAGTTATTTTTGCTAATAAATTAGCAACACATTTTGTGCTGTCGTAAATAATTTGCCGTTTGTTATTATTTTGTCGAATTGAATTAAATTTCTTCTTTAATCAATTGTGTTGGATTCCTTGCGAGAATTCTTGTATAAATTAGATGAAATAATTGTGCGACCTATATTACCTTGAAACTTTGATAAAATTATATTAGAAAAATATTTTTCATGCTCAATTGAACGAATTTGAAAGATCATATTTGAGGAAAGCGTCGGAAAATTCGCTTTTAGAGAAATTTTAGAAAAATCCGAGATTTGCAAAAATCATAAAAAAATCAAATCAATGGATAAACAAATATTTTGAACTATAATTGAATTCATTCGAAGCACGAGAACCCAAGATATCTCCAAAGTTTTCATTTTCAAAAAATACGAAATCTAAAAACAATTTACCTCTCCTAGCGAGTCTGGTATCGGAGTCAGTATCGACAAACAATTTCATGTGAAACAAATCCCTAATCTTAGGGAAATAAAAGACTAGAATTCCCTCGAAGAGTACAACGTCAGCCGGATAAATCGTCGTAATTTGGTCTTTAATTCTGAAACAAAGTGCAAGAAAAATACTGAAAAAATGTTGCAACATTTTTGTTCATTGTTTACTGTTCGATGGCACGTTTAGATCGGGAAGAAGGAAATCCAATCGCGAAATGTTTTAAGGTAAGCGTTAAAAGCCGTCCGGAACGGGGTATCGTAAACAGGAACGATAAACATAACGCGAATGCGTATAAAAGTGGATACTTCTCACTGAGAAGATAAGTCCTGTACCATCCCACGGTGAAGTGAATTGAATTTGGTATTTGGCTCTTCTGATAGGGGGTTGTAATCAGTGAGGAATAAGAAGTGAGTTGAATCAATTGAATTATTCAAGTACTTCGTTTGGGAAAGTTGAATGATGATATTAATCTGGAGTTTACATGGGATGTTTAAGCCTTAAATTCGACTTGAGGATATCCGAATATATTTTACAGTTTGATTCATCAAATTTCTTAATTAAATTGCGTGAGAAATTTTTTTTTAATTCATGAATATTCTGCGGCGTTCAAATTAAATTTTGCACAGAATTATTATTTTTTTAAACATTCGTTTTTAAACACAAAAATTTCGAATCAACCCCATAACCACGATTTTCTCCAACAAAGCCCTTCAAGTGCCCAATAATAATCTAGTTTAAGGCCTGGATTTTTTAAATCTTTCGTATCCCAAAATTGTCAATTGAGTGGTACATCACGTAGAAATTCCCAAAATCTATGATAGAAGGATAAAAAAATAGAAAAAATTCTGAACTTTTTCAAAGAGCGTTTTCAATTGAGATTCAGAATGAGTTGAAAAAAGTGGAAATTACAAATATCTGATTCGCTGTGGCAAATTATCTATTAGCTGTCATTTTCCATGGTGGATAACAAAACACTAACTCCTCATGGGAAGTGACAGCTAGGTATCTCAATTTTCAAAACAGTGGTATGTAGTCATCTGCCATTTTTATGTGATAAAAGTGTGATTAAAAAATTCTCCAAAATATTACAACTTTTTTCAAAGAGCCTTTTCCGTAATAAATGTCTCTGTGCAGTGTGGGAAAAGATTTACGAAATCAGTCTTCCCCCTGCAAGATATTGGGTGACAGGCCGCCATTTCCCACCGCAAATCAGATACATTTTTCAATTTCTTGTTATTCAACTTATTCTGAATATAACTTAAAAATGCTCTTTGCAAAAATTAAGACTTTTTCTACTTTTTTTGATTATTCATTCATAATTTTTCAAAGCTTCTGCACGATGCAGGACTTAATTGACAATTTCAGATGACGAAAGATGAAAAAAACATCGAGATAACGTTCGAAAGATAGTGCACCCGGGGCTTAATCAATAATAATCTAGGTTCTCCAGGGATCCATCAACCGGAAGAGAACTTCGTCAAGCGAGCAATTAACCCAGAACAATGGCAGGAAAGTGTGTCTTGTCGATCTCCCTCGTCGTTCTGTTCTGCGCATCGTGGCTGCAGTCAGTCGAGGGCTGCTGCCTCCCTTGTCTGAGTTCGAGGGGCTCTGTAGGCGACTGCTGTGCCTCGCTCTGCGGTGACCGTCAGTCAAAATGTCCATGCAACAGAGAAAGGTCACACGAATGCACCTGCTGCGGACGATCCTGCCTAGACGCCAGTCTGCCTCGCATTCAAGCAGCAGCTTCACTGAACCTTCCCCAAGTCTATCCACAACTTTACGGAGGACACTACGGACCCGGCGATCTCCGAGCCTACCAGCAAGCTTATCAGCCACCTTATCCCCATCTTTATGCACATGGCTATCCGTACGGTTATGGAGCACATCTCCATTCGCCGTATCTCCATTCAGGGTTTTCACATGAATGTCCGGAAATCAAGGCGAAATCCTGTCCAATCTGTAAACCCTGTCCAGCACTTGAGGTCGACGACGACGAGCCCCCACCAGCTCCAGTGTCCAGGAGACGTTACTATTCTCAGCCTGTCAGCTATGGTTATGGCTACCAGCCTACCTCCTACGGTTATGGCTACCACCCTACCTCCTACGGTTATAGGAGGTACAAGCCTAGAAGGCGCATGGTAAGTGTCTCCATTTGCATGTAATTTTTTTTGGAATTCCGCAGTCTAGTTGTGGGTTTTTTATGATTATTTTTGAAAGTTTGGGGAGACCCGAATGATTTCATGAAAATCTCTAGATAATTCTATTAGATTTCTGTTGAACTTTCTATTAATTTTTGGCTGATTCCATTGAAGTGTTCAGTAGAAAATATTCTGTAGAAAAAGTTGATGGAATTCCACTTTTCATGTAATTTTTTTTGGGAATTCCGCAGTCTAGTTGTGGTTTTTTATGATTATTTTTGAAAGATTTCATGAAAAACCCAGCGAATTCTCCAAACAATTCTGTTGGATTTCTATTGACCTTTCATTTTTACTTATTTTTATTGAAGTGTGAACACTTCAATTTTTTCTTTAGAAAAATAGAATGGAAACAAGTGGATAATTGCATTTTTTTCAATAAATGGGTATATACTCGAATAATTTATAAATAATCAATTTTCCACCATAAAAATCATTTCTACGGAATCGTAAAAAATTTATTGCTATTCAAAATTTTACCAGAAATCGATCTCATGCCTAAAAAATTGGATTTCCGAAAGTTGAAACAATTTCAATTATTTATTTATAAACACCGAATGTTAAAAAAATGACAATTTTATGCAAAATGTCATTTGACTGACGCTGAACATTCATGATTTTGTTCAAATTTTTCTCACGCAATTCACTTGATAAATTTAATGATTGAAAATGGTTGAATCTATAGTGCGGTCTGTACCAAACGGTAAAAGATACTTTGAAATCCTTAAATTCTTCCGTCCCCAGACATAACATCAATTAATTCAATAATTTAATTTTCAGGAGCCCGTCAGTCGATCTTGGAACGACGACGGTTCACCCCTGCGCTTAAAATGCGTTCTGGAATGATTCAGCAGCTACTTAACTCCCCAGAACGTGATATTCAAACTGTAAATTGGCGTATGACCTCAAAAATTGTAATAGTGAGCCCCAAAAAGGCTCTACACTCACAAGCTGTTAGTTCTGTAGTCATACGCTGGTATTTCACACTTGATCCCAGCGAGGATGTCCTGCAGCGTTTGGAGGATGAGGTCATTGTCAAAGGCATCAGGATGATCGAAGTTGTATTGGCCCTTCTCGGCTCGCAGCTTCTCAGCTGGTGTCAGATCTCTGTAGAAACTGTCCTGCGATATGCACACCACCTGACGCTCCTGATGATCCATGTCCACTTGACCCAGTTTTTCCATTATTCTCTTGCAAACTGTTGACTGGAAGCATTCATCGAGTGTGAGATTACATAGCGAAATAGCAAAAATTTTTTATTGACTAGTCCCAGTGTTGATGCCCTCTTTCCTGTCAGACTCGACATTCCTTTTTTCAATTAATTGTTCAGTCTTTCTCATTGCAAAAAGCAGTACGACCGATGAGAATCATATGTTCCAATTTATCAGCTGGGAAATTTTCATATTACAATAAATGATTTGCTCGTGTTCTAATTCCTAAGTTCACTGAATAAGATTTTAATCATAATTACAATTAAATTCCTTCTGGAACACACTTTAGAGTGTGAATTTCTGGAATTCAATGTTTGTTGATAGTCTGGTAAAAGTGCGTGCCCACACTGTTATCAATTTTTAGTTAGTTGACACGGTAATTCAATTAGTCTGTTGTTCATCTCATCAATATAATTCCGTGCTTAGAATATTGTCATCTCGTGTTTTCAGCACCAAATTAAAAATTAAAACTTCATTTGGAATATTGAGTCACAGCTTCTTTTTATTCGTATCAGAAATTTTGTATTTGGATATTAATATTATTTGTTCAAAGTGAAAAAACCGATCCTCATTTTCACTATATTGCATTCAGATTCTCCTATTCTTAACGTCAAAAATGCGAGATAATCCTATAATTCTAGCTGTTAATTCTAATCAACTTTGTTTGAAGAAAATTTTAGTAAAAGCAATATTAAGAAAGTCGAATTATTGTATTTTTCTCTGACCTAAATTATTTGGTTAATTATGATTCGTTTATTCATGGTTCATAGAATGGTATTCAATCATCTGTTAAATTTTCGTATCACAATAAATGATTTGCTCGTGTGCTAATTCCTAAGTTCACTGAATAAGATTTTAATCATAATTACAATTAAATTCCTTCTAGAACACACTTTAGAGTGTGAATTTCTGGAATTCAATGTTTGTTGATACTCTAGTAAAAGTGCGTGCCCACACTGTTATCAATTTTTAGTTTGTTGACACGATAATTCAATTAATCTGTTGTTCATCTCATCAATATAATTCCGTGCTTAGAATATTGTCATCTCGTGTTTTCAGCACCAAATTAAAAATTAAAACTTCATTTGGAATATTGAGTCACAGCTTCTTTTTACTCGTATCAGAAATTTTGTATTTGGATATTAATATTATTTGGTCAAAGTGAGAAAACCGATCATCATTTTCACTATATTGCATTCAGATTCTCCTATTCTTAACGTCAAAAATGCGAGATAATCCTATAATTCTAGCTGTTAATTCTAATCAACTTTGTTCGAAGAAAATTTTAGTAAAGGCAATATTAAGAAAGTCGAATTATTGTATTTTTCTCTGACCTAAATTATTTGGACAATTCTGATTCGTTTATTCATGGTTCATAGAATGATATTCAATCCTCTTTCACTCGAAAAATTTCTGTCCACAAAATCCCCCAAAACCTCCGAAATTCCATCAATCCGACCCCAAAACCCCTTGAAAAATTCTCCCCACAATCCCCGAAGCTCGAAAAAGCCAGAGAAAATGGCCCCCAGCAGGTTACCTAAACCTCGAACGTTGATAACCAAAGAACCACCACCCAATCCCCGAAGAAAAACGAAAACAATGTACCTTTCCACTGGCAGTGCCTCCAGACACCCCAATGAGGAAGGGAGTCTTCCCCTCGATGCCATTGAGTTTATTGGAAAACCCGAATGACATTTTCCTGTTGGAGCCCATGTTCATCGGCACATCAGCCATTCTCCTGCCCAGAAATCTCAGCAGACCCACTTTTGCCGCTTCCCAAGGTCCCGCAACCCCCAAAAACCACTGAATCCACTCAATTCTTCTGCACCTCTCCAACAAACCAACGAATTTACGCTGCCATACGTCTCTGCAAGCTTGAAATTCCAGTCTCACGCGGCCATTGATTGGCACCTGCCCTCGTATCTCCACTCCCCCCTCTGCGTCTTCCTCTCGCACCACAAATTCGCACCGCCATTTCCACAGATTCCAAAATATCTCGTAAACTACACGTTTTAAGAAGAAATGTCAGAAGACCTTTTTTGCAGAAAATTCAATTCTCTCGAAAAAAGATCTTCTGGTGATTTCTCTTCAAACCAACGGTTACGGAGATAATTCCGCATTTAGGAGAATGAGAAAGGGTGACGAGCTTTTACTCTCTACATTGACACAGATGAACACAACGATGACATCGACCATTCTTGGAACCACGTGTTCGCCATTTTTCTAACCCACTGTAAACAAACACGCCCGCTGCGACTGCATGATCGAATGATTCGCTTTCCAAGATGCGTAAGTGTCAGTAATAAGTAATAATAAATATCGATAACGAATTTGCGATCGACTTTTGCACTTCAGTAATGCACGATTAGTAGATTCACTGGGGAAATTGTTTGAATTAACGCGTACGCACTCGATTCGCAGTGCATTTGTGATGGAATTATTTGCATGGGAGGGAGATGTATTAGATTTGATTGGGAGAAATATTAATTTCATCAATCTGTAATCTATCTCATTATGTAATGCGATAGTTTTCGATGATTCATTCGTCTCTCAAAGTGACACAGAGAGCCATGCAGAGCAACGGCAACTCTTCCAGTTTTACATATCAGGTATTTTATTTCAATACATTTGAAAATATTTTATTATCATTTTGTTAAAGCTATTTAAACACATTTCTGTTTTTTTTAACAGATTTTTTTAAATTCCTTTGATGAATATTTTTTTAGTTGAAAAGATGTTATAATAAATACAAAAAGTTTCTGAGTGCGATTTTGATTTTAATAATTGACAACGGGAATTAGATTTGATTCGATTAGAAATTTCGAATTTAATATTAGATCAAAACAGGTTTTATTCATTGAGGATTCAACCGAATCGCTTGATTTTTATTATCTTTGTTTTCAAATCAGTTCATATCGGGGTCATTAAGTGGGACATATTGCTTCATCTCTGTCGGTTCATCACAAAGTATTAAGATTTAAGTTTAATTAATTCAAAGTTTATTCTATCTGAAATCATACAATGCCGAATTTGCCGATCGCGCTTCGTCTTCTGGATTTTATGGAGAATAAATTTGTATTTAGTTGAAACGTAATATAATATTTTTACATGAGGAATGGACCCCTCCAGAGTTTTAAGAAGTGTGCGCGTCTGGAAAAATTTCATAAAAAATTTTGGCGCATTCACTAGGGAATTTTGCTGAAAATTCTATTTGTTTTTCTTTATGTTTTGCTGGAAATTCTGCAACTTTGTTAATCGGAAAGAATGAAACGAGATTAGATCTTTTATTACTTAGTACTTAGGGGAGGTTGGGGTAAAATGGACACTTTTGACTTTTTTTAAAATGTTAATGACGGGTTAAAATGTTGATAAAATTTAATAATTTTTTCTTCATTGCAAAGAACAATTTTTTCCCTTTGTGATTAGCCTAAACTGAGCTGAATTGATAAATTTGTTTCTGAGTTATGAGTAATTAAAACAAACGTCTAAAGTGTCCGTTTTACCCCACTCGCCCCTAGATCTAAAGTTAGTTTTTAACAGTCTACTCACTCTTTGTATCACATTGAGACTTATATTTATCTTTTAATCACATTCAATATAACAGTTTTCTCTTATCATTCTTGTTCTCATACGCTTAGACTCTTGGTCTCAATCATTTTGTATTTCTATACAATCTATTTGGTCGAGATTCTTTTTTTATAAAAATCTCCATTTTCTTTCGTTCATTAAAAAACAGAAAAGGAAAAATCAGGAAATTCATGTCGAGGATTTCTCTCTATCAAATAAATTCAAATAGAATCAGTTTTACAGAAAAATTGTTCTCCCTTCCGCGTGCTGCTGTGACGCGTCCCTTAGGATAGGTTTCAGGTATAAATCCCATTGCAGGGGCGATTTCAAGTATTAAATACAATCTTACACAGGGTGGACAAGTCAGCGACAGTTTTTCTGTTCAACTCAAGCCCGCGAAATACTCAAATGTTACAATTGGTGAAATATTCATGAATTAACTCATAACTCATGAGCTCATTATAAATTAGCCCCATTCAAATAACATTCTCAAATTGTGGATGAAATTCTTCTTGAATGACAATTAATTTTCCATGGGGTACGGAACACAGGTCGTCTATTTCATCTCATGGTTTCATCGCTTCGGTATTGAAGTGTAATAATCCACTTCACAGAAAATATTCGAGTGATTTCGTTTTCATTTTCTGTTTTCATTTTCTTTTTTTCGGATTCTACTAGGACGCCGTCAGAGCTCTGAACTCTCTTCAGACTAATGCGGCGTATATCAGAACAGCACCAAAGCACAACGCTGTGAACACCACATTACGTGACACCCACAAATATCTTGCAAGGTAGGCAGAATCTGGGTTTCAATGAGGAAATTAATTCCTAAAAATCGGGAACAAAAATGTTGAGGAAAATGTCAGATCTATTGCGTAAAATCAACATGAATCTAGAATTCGATTTTTCTATACAACTTATTCTATTGAGGATTTCCTCAGCTGAAATTTTTGAAGTTCTTTCGTTTAATTTTCTTGATGAAAAAAAATAGATTTTGACAGTAGGCTAGTTTTCAATGAATAATATCTCAAAATCAAAGGGAGATAGCAAAATTTTCGTCATGACCTTTTTTGTAGCCCTCAACTCACTCTTCGAAAAAGGTCTATTAGAGATTGAGGCTGTGATGTTAGGGCGCATTGGGAGGAAGTGGTTTGGAAAGGGTGAAAATTAAAGACAACGTGGATTACAAAAAACACTGGTGATGCACTTTATTTGTGGCGGGAGCCACTCGTCTTGATTTTCGGGATACACGAATCGTCGATTGCACCTCTATTGATCACAGGACAATTGATCACGAGCAAAATAATCACAGAATAATTAGACCATCAAGAAAATACATCACACAATATTAAATTATCAGTAATTCAGTGTATTTACTGTATATTTAATAACGATGGAAAAAACACAAAAAACCTGAGCGGATCAAGTTTTAGAGTATTTAATAATTCATTAGAATCGATTGAGTTGTCGTGTTGGATAATGGTTCTTTTTTCACAGATATTAGACAGCCTTTTTGGTATACTATAACTACTGAAAATTCATATTTGGCGATTTGCTTGGTGATTTGCTCGTGAACCCGAAGGGTCCCGAAGTCGTTCGAGATTTTCCGTTAAGCCCGGTAATTTTGATAGTGAAATATTTGCTGCGTTTCAAACGAGGTCATTAAAAAAATCTCGTCAACTCCCTTAGACTCCGGGATATCCCCGAAAAACTCAGTTACATTTCATATTTCTTGGAATAGATCTGGAATCGCAGTCGACGATCTCGACTCTCTGGCTGTGATTCACATAGCGGGAACCAAGGGGAAGGGTTCGACCTGCGCCTTGGTGGACTCGATCCTCCGAGCCCACGGATTCCGCACAGCTCTCTACACATCCCCCCATTTAATCACTGTTCGCGAGAGGATAAAGATAAATGGAGTCGCTATCTCTGAGGAGGATTTCACTAAGCACTTCTGGAAACTGTACAATTGTCTCGACGCGAGGAAAGAACGACCAGGCGACATGCCTCCCTACTTCAAATTCCTCACGATCTTGATGTTTCACCTCTTCCTAAACTCCGCAATTGATGTAGCAATAATTGAAGTGGGAATTGGAGGCGAATACGACTGCACAAACGTCCTGAAATCCCCAATGTGCACTGGTATCACTGCTCTGGGGCTTGACCACACTTCAATGCTCGGTGACACTCTCTCCAGTATCGCATGGCAAAAATCCGGAATTTTCAAACCTAATGTGCCTGCATTTACGGTGGAACAACCCCCAGAAGCGATGGAAGTTCTGAATAAAAGAGCTGTTGAGAAGAACTGCCCTTTGACTGTTGTCCCAGACTTGAGTACCTACCAGTGGACTAAATTCCCACCTGACATTGGTATTCTCGGAGACATTCAGTACGAGAATGCTGCATTAGCCGTCAAATTAGGGGAGACTTGGATCAACTCAGCGAAGACTCAGAATAACGAAAATTTCATGCCTCAAAATGGAAATCTACAGGGGTTCGATTTGAAAAGGGTTGAAATGGGATTGAAAGACTGCAAGTGTCCAGGAAGAACTCAAGTTTTGCATGGCAAATCGTCGGACTATTATCTCGACGGGGCCCACACAATTGACAGCATGAAAGTCTGCGTCCAGTGGTTCAGAAAGACTCAGGAGAAAAAGAACAACTGCAAGAAAATTTTGATTTTCAATTCTACCGGCAACCGAGCTTCCTCCCAGCATCTGGATATTTTGAGGGAGATTCCATTCGTCAAGGCTTACTTCGTACCAAATATTTCGGGGAAGAACTGCACTGATCAGGAGAATTTCA